CATGGCTATCTAGCGAGTACTCCATCAGGAGCGCGCTGAGGACTTGCAGAACATCCTTGTTCAGTCTTTCCACTGTTCCGTTCAACCAGGGGAAGTACACGGAAGTAAAGTGCAGTTCCATCTTCAACCTGGTGGCCAAGTGCTGTATCATCACATTGCGAAAATGCGCTCCTCGGTCGGACAGCAACGTCTGAGGCAGACCATACCAGAAATATTACGTCAGCAACCCTTCGGCAGCCACGCACGCCAGCTGCGTAGCGCACAATAACAACTCGCAGAGGTGCGATAGCCCGTCCTTGACCACGAGAAGGTAATTTTAGTCACCATAGCCATTACCAAGAAAGAAGAAGTCCCAATGGACGAGCTCGTTTCGTTCCGTAGGTGTGAGTGGCAGTCCAAACGGTGAGGAATGAGCCGAGGGCCTAAAAAGTGCTTGCATAGCAGACAGCTGTGGACGAACTTCACCACCTTATCCTCCAGCTTCGTAATGTAGAATCGGTAATTCAGCGCAAGGAACATTGCTTCCTGGCTGCGCAATTACGAAATTTCTGGTAAGTAAATCGGGAGTTCCTGTTGGGACCCATGGACGTTCATCGACAAGCTGTACACTATTCTCCTATAAAGTGCATTTTAGTCGAGCCTTCTCATGTCCAGCGAGAGACCTTGCAGCCGCAATGTCAGTCCATGCAGGAAAATCGAAATCCGCGTCCATCAGAGGGCGAATGACTGACAGATCTTCAACAGGAACGCTCCGGCGACCTCGTGTACAACCGCAACCAGTACTTGCGAACGTGCCAGCGGAATCTGCCCACACATAGGCATCGCCGGAAATGTGTTCAATGTGGTAATGAAGACCGCATAACCGCATGGCTCACCGTTGCGAACGGTCTCTGACGTGTTTCTTCAAGTCGTCAAGGGGTGCAAATATGTAGATCAGGTTGGCGTGATCGCAGAAGAGCCGGAAGCTCCCCGGACGCAGTAATAGGTACGCGCAGGCCTTCACGATGGGGTACGCCTCCTTCTCCACTACTACCCAGTTAAGTTGTGAGTGCTTAAACGTACCGCCTTTGCAAATGACTGGTAGCTCTGGTGCTCGACAGAAATGCCTGGTTGCCACCGTGACTTTGTCACCACTATACCGAATCCGGAAAGTAACGCCGTGAAGACACACAACACGGCGTCTGGATCGGGGTGAACCATCAACGCAGAGTCTCTAACCAGCGAAAGTGCGTTCTTGTAGGCAGCTTTCTCATCATCACTCCAGGATGTAGCAACTTGCAATGCGTTGCAGTTTTGTTTATCGATTCGCTGCTTCTCGGCCTCCAGTTTATTATGAAGCGGAACCACAGTGCGTGCGTAGTCTGGTAGCGAGTCATATAACCATTATGTCGCAAATACAAACCGCTGTAGATCTGCCACGGTCGCAGAAAGAGGCAGTCCCAAAAATGCACCCAGGCGAACAGGATCGTCTCGAATACCTTTTCTTGAAATTAGCCTGCCGCACCACCTGATTTCAGCTCAAACAATGACGACTTCGCCATGTTGAGCTTGAAGTTGGCCGCACTGACAATTTTGAAAACATCCGTAGCGTCTGAGGAAGCTGATGCATTGTAGGCGAGAATAAAATCACGGTGGCGACCCACACGAGGGCCGAGCGCGGAATCAGCGGATAACTCAGTCTGGACTTGGCTCTGGAAGTGTAGGGCAGACTCCATAGCTCCCTGTGCGACTCGAGTAGGTGTGAACACACCATCGGGCGTGAGGAAAGAAAATATCTCCTGACTGGCTTCGTGCAGAGGAAGCTGCCAGAACCTCTTGGTGAAGTTGACGCGTCCGAAGAACTTCTTACCGCTGAAGGCGTCGGCTGTGGTAGCAGCTGTAGACATCGTACCAGCATGGGGATTGTCATGCTGTTGACAGCCCTGTAGTCGATGGTCAAACGGAATTCATCCTTGACCCCCGGCTTGCGTACAGGTACTACAGCACTCACCCACCGCGAAGCGTTATTCTGTACCACCAGTCCACTATTAGCCCGTATTTTCACATAGTCACGGATGACTGAGTCTGCAACGGCGCATACTTGCGTGCAGGGCTCCTGTAGGATGCAGCATCGGATTTTAATGATACGCGGAGAGAATCTACATTGGGAGGGGGGGCGATCCAAGTGCATCACGCTAGACGTCTGGAAATTCTTTCGGCAAGTCTCGGACAGAATTAACATGCTCGTTCGGCAACTCGTTGGCCACAGCTTGGTCGAGAAGAGGGTCTAGCGAATCGATTGGTCCATTTTCAGAAAAGGCTTTAGGAAATTCACCGACGACTATAACTTCATCATACTCTGCCTCCGGCTGCGGGGATCCACCAACTGGGCAAGCTGTTGCTCCACGTCAATGCCAAGCCCCTTCAGGACATCCCGGCCCAACAAGAATTCGTCTTCACCGCCAGCTAAGATCAAGCACGGTACCGAACGCAGCGAGACCAACCCGGCAACCGTGGCCAGCTCCAGGTCCAGCATCACCTCTTGCTTGAAAAGTTGGACCCCCCCCATCAGCCATAACAGCTTCGACAGGCGCACTTAGTGGGGTAGTCTCCAGCGTTGGCTGCACCGCCTTCAATGAAGTCATGATCTTCTCAGGAACTACGCTCTTGTCGGCACCGGTATCGGGCGTGTAGGGTGCATCCAACAGCTCGTTGATGAGGACAGAGCCAGCAGGCGTTACAAATCGGGCGGCCTTCGACCGGACCGACCCCGGGGTGAAGAAACTGTAACCCATTCGTAGCTTTATGCGCCTTGGCCTTGATCTCAAGCACCGCTTCGGAAAGTTGCTCTTGTTAGAATACACGGCGGCAAGCTGGTCAGGATGATTGTCAAATAAATACGGGACGAGACAGCTAAAAAAAAGTGAAGGCTTACAGTCGTGTGCATGCCTAGGAAAAGGCTGGGAACTGGTTCAGGCTCCAATCCCATATTGGCAGCCGAGATAGCAAGTTGGTGTTTGTGCGTGTAGCTTGGCTGTGCTGCATTTCGAGGGCTCTACCCAGCATCAGCGCGGGATTCACACAAGAGTTTCCAAGCTAGCCAATCATAGGCAGGTTAGCATCGCATTCCATTGTGCTAAAATGAAACACACTCAATTCCCTATAAAATAATTGAGCGACGGTTGTCAAAAGCTACGGTGGACTGAATGTTTCTTACCTGTCTCCTAATGTTACCTGTAACTCAGTCGACATTTTGGAACGATATAATGCTCTACAGGATACATGTACTGTGCTTTGCATGTGAAATACCGTACACTTAAGCTTTCTAATACAGAGTTTGCTGGATAGGTAAAACCGACTCTAACAAAACGGACTTGATCTTAACTAGCCTTTTTATCTCATAATAGCGACTTCAGCCACCAGATAAACTGTCATTCAGGTAACGACCAAGAAACGTGCCTACGGTGAAGCGTTTGGGTCGTCAACTGCGGCCATACTGGTCTGCGTGTAAGTATCAACTAAAAGGAGCTGACGATCGCTCTAATGGTATGAATGTGCATGCGCTTGAGCTACTTTAGACCCACGTGGACGAGCAGCAGGCGAGGTACGTGCTGTCGCTCTCGTAAAAGGTTTTCAGTGTGGTCTTTTCGTATTCAAAGCTTGATATTGTGTGTATACCTAGGTAAGCCCCGGTGGGTTAGCGTGTAAACAGCAACTACGTGAGTGATACCGTCTTGAAGTATTTGGGCATCGCTACTATCAGTCTGTTAACGTATCTGACGCGTTTGACTGTGGTATGTAGCTAGACTCAAAAGAGGAACAACGCTCTTAACGAAAGCACCATGAAACGAAGATTTCGTAATTGTCCCCGCCGTAGTCTCCCAAGACGCGAATTCTTGATGGTCAAGGACCGCGAAGATTGAACGACGCTGACCGCGTAAAAAAGGCAGCTTGACAACGCACTAAGTGTTTCTTTCCGACCACCCGTACCTCCTGTACGCGTGGTGACCATCTTTGGAGGGTTCGTCAATGAAATGAGCTGCTCTGGGTGTGCACGAAGTTTAGCTTTGTTGCTAGCCACCTAGCGATAAAATTAAACAAAAATTAATGTCAAAATCACTATGACTTAAAAAAAAGCTGAGCAAACTCACCTCAAGAGGAACCCTTTCACGGGCTACCCTCGTCAGGACTTTTCTAGTTAGACCCAAATCAAAATTCAGCGCCCGGCAGATAGTCGAAAGTGACACATTCGTCACTGTTGGATGTTCGTCTTGTAATTATTGCTGCAGCTCGTTCATATAGAAGGTATAATGGTCTTTAGCGTACTACCTGACAGTAGCTACGACGTCCTGGGACCAACGGGAGGTGCGGGTGGGCTCTTTTTTTCGTACACCACGCCTTTCTGCAGAAAAAAACTGTACCAGCAATAAATTGTGCGTGGTTTGGGTCCAAAGAGGTCGCTAATGAACCCTACGTCGATTACGTAGACGTGTAGAAGTGAAACAACCCGCCAACGAAAGTCCGCAGACTACGTCATGATATTGAAGTTTTGGGTACTTTGTGTTAATTGAAAAAAGTCGGAAATGCAGTTTGATCTGTGCAATTCGGGGTTACCGAAGCTAAAACAGCAGCAAAGACTGAGTTGGTCAGCTTTTATTTAGAGATTTTCTGTGCGAGTAACACGCTGACTACGAGATTTTCATCCCTAACCACAATGGTAAACAGACTTTTGGCAATCATTTTTGCCAAAATTCATGCAGAGCACAATACTTCCCTCCCGGTATAAACAATTTATTTAAAGCGGCTAATTCAAATAATATTTCAAACATGAAACTGATTTACCGGTAAAATACAAAACGGAAATAAATAAAATGGACGCTATTGTTTTTCAAAAATTGCTCCAAATTTGAAAAGGTAAAATGTTTCAAATTGTTGTTAGCTGAGTTCCAGATAAGTTCGAGGCTCCAGTCCAGTTTGGTCCTTCACAGCCGCAAAAACAAAAGAGACCATCAACGACAACCATGTTCGCCTCAAGACTGGCGCCAGTGCTGCGCCGTGCGGCCTCTTCAACCACTCGCCGGCCGTCGCCCCAGTTTCTAGTCGCAGCTAGACAAGGCGCCAGTGGACGTACTCTACGTCTCAGTCGCCACTTCTCGCAGGTGACGTTCACGTTCGTGGATGGAGAGGGTGAACAGTCGACGGTGACGGCGGAGGAAGGCGAGAAGCTGCTAGATGTGGCCCAGGAGAACGACTTGGAGCTTGAGGGCGCGTGTGGTGGAGAATTGGCTTGCTCTACTTGCCATCTCGTGCTCGAGAAGCGCATCTTTGACAATCTACCGGAGGTGAGCGAGGAGGAGGAGGATATGCTGGACCTGGCCTGGGGACTCACAGACACGTACGTAGAGCGTTCTACCGCGAAAAAACCTATCGAGTGGGTTGCATTCTAATACTGCTATTTACTGTAGGTCGCGGCTGGGCTGCCAGATCCACGTGACCAAGGAGATGGAAGGCATGACGGTGCGGATTCCAGACGAGGCCGACAACCTCATGTAAGGATAGAAGGACGACTAATAGAGAATGGATGATGAGCGTCCACTCAACGGTGTTGGAGTGGCTGCTTTTCCGTCGTGTGTGGTTAGTTTCTAGGTCGACTCACTTCTAAAGACTTTAGAACGCTTCAGTGGACGAGTCGGCCAAGCCGCTTGCTGCTGGATCATGCCGCTCATTTTGGATTGGATCTTCTCGAGTTCGGTCTCTGGGGCCCGCTTGCAAATGGACCCGAAGAAGTCGGTACTGAGCTGTCTTATCGTCAAATGCTGCAGATGCTGCCATTACCTCGAGAGCGGCGGTTGACTTTGAGCTCGGCTTTTTAGGAGTATTATTGCTGATTTTGTCCACTATGCGAGCAAAACGCTGCTTCATGGTCGGGTCTTACGCAGGTCCAAGACAACTTTGGTTCAGGATGGCCATCTCACCGCCTGAACTCTATCTAGACTTGACGATCTCGGGAAGATAAAGACAAGTAAATCTTCCAAGAATGGCCTCCTCCAAGAGTGGAAAGCACACCACGCGTACTCAGAACACAACTGGTTAGAACTCCATCGAATCCGACTTAGAAGATCGCAACAGTTCACCTGCAGAGACCGACAGGAGCTCCCATCGCACCCGAAACTCGCCGTGAGGCACGCGGTACGGCCAAGTTGTCGAGTTTCTGCTGCTTCTAGTTAATGATGAGCTCGTTCGTTGAGACAGTCTCGGCAACGTCCAGGCCTCTGTCGTATCAACGCAAAGCTACGCTAGCCGCAGCTTTTTTTGTTATATGAATGAGAATGACCGACCTGAAGTGAGGTCTTGTTCCAGTTGTCGACGCGATGGTTCTGTGATGGGGGCGGCTGCTTTGGCTCGGCGTTCATTCTCCTCAATATACCGTCTTGTGAGCCCTTTTTGCCTGTCGAGCCATGAATGGAGACTGCGGCGTTGTACTCGCAAAACGCTTCGCTTCCTCGTTCTCTTATTGTCGAGGTTTTGAAAGCTGGTCGGATTGAATTGAAGTCTCCCTGTCTACAGTTGACAGCGAAGACTTGCTGAACCTAGTGATCGTCAGGAAGTTCGGCGAATTCTCATCCGATTTCAGTTGCACAAGGACCCGACCATTGGAGACGTTGCTCTCAATATAGCAAGCGACACTTTTCAAGCAACCATGCCTCCACCAGTGCAGCCACGCGTGGATGGGGCCCAGTCGATGGGGACGATAGAGTCGATGGAAGCTGTGGGGAAGTTTGAGGTTTTTCGGCTTCTGCATCGCGTTATAGTGTTCGCCATTGCTCTTTGGTACGTGGTCATCTCAGTCAAAACGTTTGTGGCGCCTATTACAGTTCTACGAGGCTTCGAGTCCAATGACTTGGGGACCACCATTCACGAGTCTAAGCTTATTGTCGCCTATGCTGGAGATGCAACGATCAACGAGAGTCCACTGGCTCAGAGGGTTCTCAAAGGATCGACCGCTCTGAGAGGCGACTCGACTTTCCTCTTGACCGACAACGAGATTTCCTTCACCGAGTGCACAAACGTTCCCGGATATGACGAATCCGTAACGGCAACACTTTCTCGCGATTCATCTTCACGTCGCTGCAGTCGCACGCTACGAGAGATCTCGAATATCTTGCAGAGGTTGAGTTGATCGCTCCTGTTATCGATTGTTCACTTGATCTGATCGTCGCAACGGATGAAGCCGTGACGCAACTACGAATGTACTTTTTGATGCGTCAGAAGAGTAATCCGAAGGAGACGATGTTGCTGTCAGCGTTGGTTTCTACACAGGATTTTTAAGTGGGTCGGCAGTACCAGAGTGGAGCAGCTTTGCTCGTCATTCTCGCACCCATCAAAGACATGCAAGCTACGGAAGTGACGCACCAGTTTGCCATAGCTTTCAACTACCCATACGAGTCTGAGCCTCACTTTACGAGTGCTGAGTTCCTGGGCATTGAGAGTGACAATTTCTGGCTTTTTAAAAGCTTTCCCCAAATCCACAGTGTCGACCCGGCAAGGGAAGTTCGTACAGCGTATCGGATGGGAGGCTACATTGACGACCCCGTGGCTCAATCCAACATTGAAATTATCCACTGGCAGCTACCAAGTGATCCAGCAACTGAACTGGGGCACTGAGTGGCACGCATTCGCATCTCTCCACGATTCGTGGGCGTGGACACACAGTATTCACGGCATCTTCGCTATCGATGTGCTGTTCGATCTCGGAGTGTTGTTTTTCGTCATCTACCAAAGACTTCGTAAGGGGCATCTTTTGGGTAGGTGACGCGTTTGCTACGATCTCGAATGCGCTTCTCTATCGTGGCGTACTCGTGTTCGTATCCCACCCATCTCAACGGGATACTACACCCTCACAGAGCTCTGTCTTGCCATCGGAAGCGAACTGACTGGCCGTCGTTCAGTTCACTATCGTCCCGAATTGGCTCACGCTGATCTGCTCACTTTTTTCTTGAACGTGACGAGTGTTCTAAGCTACTTTTTCCACGAGAGAATCGACCCGGTGCTTGCGTTTGCTGCATTCGAGCTCGGCTTCAGCTATCGTGTCGCGCTAGTGGATGCCCTACCGGCTTTGCGGAAAGTTGTAGTCGACTTTGCGGAGGAAGACTACTGGCTAGGTGTCATCAACGTCAGTCCGTTCCTCGCGAAGCTTTCGCCAATGAAATTCTGGACCATTCACGAGATCACAGTGGACCGTAAGACTGTCGTGATATCGACGGTTATCTGTATCTTCAGTCCGATGATGTGTTTGGCTGTCTACATTCTCATTCGAAAGATTATCCGACACTCAACGCAAGAGTAAAGATCGGACGAAAACGTACAACACCGACACGGAAGATACTTCGACACAGGAGAAGAACAGCTAACTTCATTCGAAACAGCTACAGGTGCGGCTTTAAGCAAGCGCTACGGGGTGATTCAGGCTACGACAATTACCTCTTTCGCAACAGGAAGCGCTACGCCTCCATCGACGCCGTCTATGGGAATGGATATCTCATTGCAAATCACAAATATCTGGTGGCGACCGAGGATATTTTTTCAGTGCTGGCCATGAAGCTGACCCGTGTGCGCTTTACCAACATCTACGTGTACACGATCTTGCCGAATGGCGGCGTGAACCAAACTGCACAGCTAGTGTATCCACGTACCATTCCGTGGTCGGATCTAGCGCACCTAGGCGTCGTAAAACTTGCATAACATTTCTCGAAAATAAAAAAAATTGAATTTCTTTTAAGACGAATACTAGTACATGAGCGAGAGGAAACAGGCAACACCAGCCTTGATCCAGTAGTCCTGGTCTGCGAACTGCAGCTGAAGATTGGTCTCCGATACGAGCGAGTTCCGAAAAATTGTTCTCTTGTCGGACGGGATATCGATCCAGAAAACGAAATTGGTCGAGTGGCCTGTGGTTGAAAGTGTTCCTGTCCTCGTAAGAATCTTGTACACTGGACAGCGATAAATGCTGCTCTGAGGGGCTTGACGGTCTTGTACAGGCAGTAAATGCACCACCGGCATGCGAGCGAATAGCTCCTTGGGGAGTGGATCCACAAGCGAGTGGGAGATTCTGTCCCATCGAGCACCTTCCAGAAAGAGCCCCGTCATGTAGCACCCTCCTTTCTCTGGTTTCGTTTTGATGCTGTCGGCTATCTGGCTTTGCATGAGGAAGTCGAAGGACAGCGAGTCGATAGCCAAGCCAAACTGTCGAGCGTGATTCTGTAGGATTCCAGTCAAGAATCCTTGCGGGAAGAAGAACCCGGACAGCCAAAATACTGGGGGGATACCGTTGTCAACCCACTTTGTCAGAAATTGCAGACGCTCCAGTAGATCGTCGACCCAGCCTCCAAGAGCTTTCAAAGACGGATACGCCTTTTTCTCCCATTGAGGAGGCACTTTCTGGTTGAACAAACACGTAGCCATCGCCTCCAGCTGCGGTGACATGACAATGAGACCACGGAGAGCACGTTGCAGACTTGGGAGCGACACTTGAAGGACTCGAAGCAGTGCGTTGTAGCGCTGTACTTCTTGCACCAACACGGTGTTCATCGATTCTTCGTACATGACAGGATACCGCAGACTAATGTGCTCCACTTCGAACAGTGGAGGCAGGCGATCCATGATCGATTGGGCTTGTTGTTCGATGAGACTTTCTCTTGACTGTCCCCTTGCATCTGCAGCAGCACGAGGTTGAAGCGCTAGAATGATGTCAAACGTGTGGAACGTTTCCGCTAATGCACACGTGATGTTTGCGTTGTCATGCATCCCGAAGACTTCAGGCTCTGGGTTCAATGGCAATTCATCGATGTAGCTCAAGTAGCTTGCGAGTGGATCATCAGGGTCTGCTGTGAGGGAATAGTACGAGCCACTGGAAGAAAATTTGTATCCATCCTCCAGAATCTGCGCATTGAAGAAACCTTCGAGGATGACGTCAATCGTGCGCATGTCCTTATCATCCGTCACACGACCACCGTAGTTGACCACCGACGTCATAACACACAGCACCTTGTAGGGAACTTCGTCGTAGAAATCCAGGAACATTTCAAGTTGTGCACGACTTATGTCATAGTCCGTATCATTAAAGGCGTACGGAATGTTCCAGCCTAATGGACCGAAGCGCTTTCGCTCGATCACGACAGCGTGGAAGAAACTGAGACCGAACAGGAGTTTACGGAACTGGTCAGGTTTCGATGTGGCGTCCAGCGTGTCGTTCGTGAGCTTAATGTACGAGTTACGCAAGTTAGCCCGAATCCCCTTCGGCGGCTCCTTCGTCATTTTTACGCCATTCTGAAGCACTGAAGTCGGGAATGCTGTACTCGGTCTACTAGTTAGCCACAGGCGAAAGTCTCGATGTGTTGCGTCCGGATTCAACTCGTCGCATATGCGTTCAAGCTGCGGCATCCAGCTGATGGCCAAGTGGCAGTTCTGAAGTAGAACCCACTTGCCACTCGTCACGGCTTCCTCGATCATTTTGGTGGCTAATGGTCCTTGGCCTTGACCTAGTGAGATGGAGTTGAGTTTGCGGTTCATCTTCATGGTCTCGGCAAACACCAGCAACTCCTTGGCTGGATCAGAGCCCGTAGATAGTACGAAGATGATGGGAGTGATCACTGTCGAATCTGCGAACGAGCCTGCGAGATCAAACGGCGGAGGCTCAATAAAGCGACGGCCGATGTGTTCAGCTACGAAATTCTGCATGGCTTCGGTCATTCTGTCAGGTCGGATGCAGCGCAGCACGCAGAGCTTCTGAAACGAGTTGAGCGACAAATCCAAAGCCAGTGGCAGGCGTTCAACTTGTGGGTCCGCAGAGTCGAAGATCTTGCGCCATTGCGACGTATTGGTGGCCATTGAAGAGGCCAAGGTCTCAAATGCTGGCAAGGACGATAACGCGCAAACCTCACGCCACATTCGGTCTTCTACCCACGAAGTATCTGGATTCGGGGCCTCGATGGAGCTGGACGTGGATCCAGATATCAAGAAGCGCCATTCCAACATGTCAATCTTCCGAGGTCCCATTAACAACTTGATTGTGAGAAGGAATGAGAAGAGTAGTTTGTGTTCTTCAAAGAGAGAGCGGCATATGTTGCGGTAGAGTGAGTACGTGGCCGAGTCGTTGAGGTGAGCGAGTCTCATTTCCAGTTGGTCACTCTCCGTGGCGCTGTGAATACTCTTGATGAAGAGCGACACAAACCACGGCAGCGAATACTGATACATTGGATCCACCAGTGCCAGGTCTGCGATGCAGAAGAACAGCAACGAGGCGCGGAAAGCCACGCCACGGTAGCGTTCACGTGACTCATCGATGGCCTTCTCGGTGATTTCTGCTTCGGCCATCTTCTCGTTGATATCTTCGGATGTCACTTTAGCCTTGCCCAAGGTGTCGATAAGTTCGGTATCGTCCAGAATGTTCCCTTTCGAGTTGGCCAACATGTACAGGATCTTGTTCTCAATCTCCACCAGCTCTGCTTTCATTCGCGCATTGGCTACGACCAGCGAGTTCTTCTTCTCTGCTAGTTCAGGCATTTCTTCTTGGACTACAACACCTAAGGCTTGATCTTCTAGACCCTTCGGGGTAATGGTATAGTTGAGTAACGTCACTTTAACTGACGTCTCTGGCGGGTAGTGCGGGTTGGGCAGCTTCGTGGTCATGTAGAAGCGGAAGGCTGGGTTGTACGGCACGGTCGAATCTCCCAGCTTCATGACCACCTGGCCTCCTTGTCGGAACTTGTTTTGAAGTAGAACGGGCTCCAAAGTGGCGTCCAGACTCTCCCCTACATTCTCCAGTAGAATCCACTTCCCGAATCGAATCCCGTTCTCTAGCGTCTTCAAGAACCCTTTATCCGTCAGCTTCACCACGTCTAGACCGTTCTCGGACGCGTCTTTGCCCAGATTCTTAATAAACCGATTGGCCTGACCTTGTGGGTCAATCAGTAGCGACCACCGCCTTGCACGAGCCATTATTAACCCGTTCTGGACAGATAAATTATCCGAAGGTAAGCCAGCGATCTGCCAGCCTCGCACTTTGACTGGATCTGCTAACGTTGTGATGATGTTGCAGCCTCTTGTATGCGGAAGCTTGAGCTCTTCTAAGGCTGCATACCACGTCGACACACACGACTCCCGGAACTCGCTAGTGAACGTTCCCAAGTAGCTGATTGTAGCTGCAGAGATGATGACGTCGCCGACCAAGTTGGTGTAGTCGAAGTTCAATTGGCGAATCGTAGCAGCCCATCGAGTCTCCTCTCCCCCAAGCAGACCAATCAGCTTCAACGCAGACTCGAGACGGATCTCACACTGTCGAACGTCACGCACTAGTTGGTCTTTCTTGTCCACTGCATTGTTGTAGTTTCTTTCCAGTTCGGCGAGACGTTCCACGACAGCTTGGAGACGCGCCTTGGCGTCCGCGAGCACGCGCATCGTGACGTCAAGTTCGGCTTGTGCGGTTGCGAGAACGACCTTCTTGGGCTCCACCATCTTGGCTACATTGTGGTACGTGTGCATGGCTCGAACCCACATGCAGATCGCCTCGCAGGCCACACTGGCCTTCCTGACTGCAGCAGGAGAGAACTCGTCCATCTCAATGTACCGATCCAGCTCCTGGATGATCTTGTCTCCGATATTGTCCTTGTCGAACTTGAGCATATCCTCCATGAGCTTCTTGGCGTTACCCAAGATGGTCTTCTGTGCGCTCTCCCAGTAATCTTTCACCTTCTGCCCGGCCTTGTCCGGGTCCGCCTTCATCGTGGGTTTAATACCGAAGATAATACACGCAGCCTCCATCGTGAGCTTGACACCGTGCGGGGGGTTCTTCAGCGCCTTGACTTCGTCGATATCCGACTTTTTCAGCTTGTTCAGACACTGCACAGCTGCTTCAAGAGCGGGCAGCGCTTCGTCCAAGTCTCGCTGAGCGTCGTCGGCGATCTCCTTGGTCTCTGCTGCTTTCTTGTTGGCGATCTGCTCCTCCTTCTCTACGATCGCCTTGGTCTCGTCGGCGTCTTTCTTGTCCAACGTGATCTGCTTCATCATCTCTTCCACTTCGATCTGCGTCTTCTCTAGCTGAGGCTTTAGAGCAACCAGCTGCTCCTGCATCCCTGCAACCTGCTCCTTCGTAGCGATGATCTTGTCCACACCATTCTGGAGTCGAGAGCGCTTCGACTGGACCTCCTCCCGCTTCAGTAGCAACACCGTCTTGAACGTATGCAACAGCTCGAGATAACTCGTGGGCGTCACGTAGTTGTATCTCCGAAGCTTCTCGAAAAACGCGACCGACTCCTTCTCGACACTCTGGTGGATCGTCTGGAAGAGACTGACGACGGATTTCGAGGCTGCTGCCTTCGCTGCCTTCGCTTCTGCGGATTCTTCCTCTCCAGACGTTACGGCAGCTTCGCCAGTGAGCTGGAAATCTCCCGACGATAAGGCACTGGCAGCCACGGACTGCAAAGCTTCGGCTGGCCATTCACTGAACCAGTCGATCGTACAGCAATTCACTAACGACGGGAACATGCGGATGCGATCTCGAAAGAGGCCGCCCAGTGGACTCATACACAGCACGAGGTGCAGATTCTGTCGCACCAGAAGAATGTACTGAGCGAACGTGTTGAGCTTGGTCGGAGGGATCCTCTTCTTGACGCAGTAAGCTCGACAGTGTTGACTGATCTGGTCCAGATCTTCAGGTGCGTACAGATTGGGAACGTCGCCAGAGTTGAGCACGTTGTTGATGTCTTCCAGCATGGCTTCGTGCACGATCTGGACGTCTGAGAAGAGAAAAACCAGCGGCTTCTCGTCAATACCTGCCTTCATGAGACATTTCTTTAGGTCATCTCGCCATTCAGCCACCCCATAGCCCTTGGAGATCTCAATCTGAGTGCACGAATACTCGGCCATATACGCAGCCAGTCGGGTAAGAGACTGACGTCCACTACCGCCGACACCGAGCAGCAACGCGTTGCCCTGCGGCTGTCGAATGACTCGAGCAATGCGCGAAACGTGCTCGATAGCGTTCATAAAGAGCACGAGGTTCATGGGGGCGCTACTCTCCGCATTGTAGTCGTTCAGATATTCCTCCACTTGAGCCTGTAGCTTGTCCACGTCCGAGATCTCCTCGTAGACTTTGGGGTCAGCTCCTGGGATCATGTAATCTCCATAGAATAACGTTGGCGTTGGGTGCACCAGACCCCAAGCTGCTTTCTTAGAGTTTGTAGACGTTCTAGAAACCCCCAGCGATTCGCCAAAGACTGTCGCTACTTGAGTCTGAAGTAACTCCATGAACCAGTCGTGATCGCTCGGCGTAGTGAAGCGATCTTTAAACACGCGCATGTTCTCGTGCACCCAGAGTCGCAGCATTTGCTCCAGCTTCGTGATGCGCTTCGAGTCTCCCATCAAAACACCCTGGAAAACCTTGGCAAGATCTCGAAGATTGAACGTGTAGTGCGACTTGGCTGGAGTGGGGAGCAGCTCGGCAATGACAGTGTTGTAGATGACAATGGACGCTTGGACGAGCTTCTTGGCGATCTGAGGAGGCCGAATCTCTTCCGAGAAGCGACTGAGGAAGTTCCCCACTATAGTCTCGAACACGATGGCTTTACTCTCGTTGGACATCTCAGTGTATCCCACAATGTTAAAGTGCCGTACGAACCGCTGAGTGATCGGGTTGCGGCCACCTCCAGGAGGCCCCATGGAGCACACGAACACGACGTCGATGATGGTGCGGAACGTGAGCAGCTTGCGGTCGTACCAGCCTCCTTGATCGAACCATTGGCGTAAGATCTCGATAGGAGGTTGGGCGAAGTATTCCTCCTGCTTGGGCATATTGAGGTCGTCCACGTAGATGATGAACTTCTTGCCGGCTGTGGGCCCGAACACGCCTTTGCGTCGCTTCTCCATCTTGGAATCGATAAAATCTTGCGTTTGGTTTGCACTACTCTGAGCTGAAAAGGCCATACTCAAGGGGATGTATTTGTCTGGGTTCGACTTCTCCAAGAACTGGTTCACGTTGATCGTCTTGCCTGTCCCTGTCGGTCCGACAATGAGCATGTGTACACCCAAGGGCAGTGTCAGATTCATCAAGAATGTCGAGCGTACAGAGTCCGCAATAGGCACTACCAACTCAGAAAACGACGCTGAGGAATCGATAGTAAAAGTGGGGATAGTCTGGAGCCACAGGACCCAGTTCTCCTTGGTGAGATCGAACGAGTAGTCGTATACTTGTCCTGCTGCTGGGAATGGCTTCTTGACGTTGTTCCCGATCATTTCGTCACGGAGATAAGCGTCAAAGCGATCGCGACCTGCGTCGTTGCCTGTTGCTCCAACGGACCAGACGAGCGAGAAGAGGAAGAAGCTTTCAATATTCTTCAAGTAACCCCCCACACGCTCCAGTTTGGCTTCTTTCTTCTCGTCCCCTTGCATCGGGAAGAAGAAACAATCGAGCAATCGCAGCAGACTCTGCACCAAGTTAGACGGAATCTGAGGCAGCCATTCCTTCACATAACTCGTCACGAACTGTAGAGCTGGACGTAGGTAGACGTCCAGCAAGAGATGAAGTTGCAAGCACAGCTGGACGACCGGAGGCGCACTGCCCAGTCCAATATCACGGACAACCTTCTCCAACCAACTCGTCACAAGCGGATCAAAGCCCAAAGAACTTGGTTCCATGTACACCATACCTGTTCGACTCACCGTGGCGGGGGAAGCCACGGACAAATCCTCCACTTCAAACATCATCGTCATCTCGTTGGACATCTGGATAATCTCTCCGCTAGCCAGACAGAGCTTCTTGTTATCATCGAGTACAGTATTCATGTTCTCAATCCAGATTGCGTCCACGGGGCCGTCGAAGATCACCCACTTGCGGTCGGATTTGGTGTCACTAGCAGCTTCTCGGTACAGCGTCGACAACACTCCGTCCTGCCACTCGTGGGTGTTGGCGTCAAACTCGCCATAAAGCTGACCCATTGTGATGGACTTTGGGTTTAATTGGTATCTTAGAACCTTTTCGTACGCATGCCCAATCTCCCCAAGCTGCTTTAACTCGGTAAGAGCGTCAGCGAGGACGTCGAGATTGGCGGATTTCCCTCCACCTGTGGAGCCCACGACCATCAAACCGTGACGTACACAGAGCGTCTCGTACAGCTGAATAACCTTCATGAGGAAGAACGGATGCGCCTGCAGATGCTGTTTCTCTATCGTCAGCTTAATCACTCGAATCAACGCTCCCAGATTAAGTTGTGGGCGGCTTTTACCGGGGAATAAATCGCTGATGATGCCTCCAAATAGCGGAATATCGTGCGCAAGGAACTTCGGCAGATTGACGTCCTGCAACGCACGAAGCAGCAGAACTTCTTCGTCCATCTCAGGGTCCGAGCGCTTGTAGTTTCCAGCTGCTGTGATCACCGTCTTGACGGCTCTCATACCGTAGTCATAGTGAGACTGAGACGACAACATCTCGGAGCACAATTTGAACGTCGTGACCATTTTCGCTCCGCATTGTTTGGCCTTCTCGTAGCCGTAAGCAAAGAACATGATCTCTCCGATCATCGCATAGTCCGGCACCATCATCGCCACAGGTCGGAACAGCGCAGCAAGGGAATCCGGCAAGTCGGAACGACCGGCGTAACCTGGATTCATCGTGATAAACACTCCAAATTGCGGATTCACCGCGATGTCCGAGTCTTCAAACATAATGCGCTTATCTCCAGCACGAATAGCGAGCTGAAGCGTAGTCACTTGCTGGCCGATCACAGACAAAACCTCGATATTAATGCGATTGAACTCGTCAAAGCACGCCCAAGCACCACACGCAGCCAATCCCTTAAAAAACTTGCCCATTGCGATATAATCCAGACCGTCCGAGCAGTTGAACACGACGCATTGCTTGGCTAGAGCCTTGGCCAGATCTTTCGTCGTCTCAGTCTTCCCAGTACCTGCAGGTCCAGCCGGAGCTCCGCCCAGCGTCATCTGCAGCGCTGCCATGAGTGTCATGTAACATTTATCTGTTAAAGGAGTGATGACCAAGCGGAACGAGTTGCCGAGATACTCGTAGCCGTACGGACGACGCGCTGAGACCATGTCGGCGAACAAATCGTCTTCCCAGTAGTATCGGAGCTGACTAGACCACATGAAGTCGTCTTTCGAGCTCACTTTGTTGTTCACCAGCCGCATCGTCACGTCTCGAGCGTGCACGTCAATGACAGCCAAGGCTCCGACACTCACACGTGCGAGTTTGTCGAGATGTCCTCGTACCATCTGCACCATATCTGCCAGTTGAGCTAGCTGCCGCTCCATCATCCGCTGGACTCCGTCACTTCCGGACGCCGCCATCTCCTCCTCCATCTCTCGAGTCCAGTGGAATTGACTGCCGTTCAAGACGCACATACCGGGCCATTTCTGGATCCACTTGGTGCGTGGGATCTTCGTGTAGTCCTGAATGGCCTGGTACATGACGTCGCGGATGGATACACGCATCATATCTTCCACTTCCGTCATCCAGTGCTCCACGTTCTTGTTCACGGGGTTCACAGGCTTCGTCATGGCTACTTTCTCTCCTTCGGCGGAGATCATTGCTGTGATCGTGAGGTCTTCCTGGAATTCCACCGACACGATCCCTTCGAAGCATTTCTTGAGATGAGGCTGCACCAGCTTGACGTCTTTACTCTCCGACAGAATCGAGAGCAGCTCCTCGTTCGAGAGGAAGTAGAAGCGACTAAAAGCCGACCGCTTCGTCTCGAGGAAGTCGCTCAATCCCTTTTGAACTTGCTCCAAGAACCGATTACTCTCTTGGAAGCGATCCAACAACTTGTCGTTGTTACAATAGGTGATGACACTGGGTTTCTGCTTGGCTGCAGCCAGAGTTTGACGCCAGTTTTTGTCCACAGTAGCGAAGCGTTTGCCTTCAGTTGGGAGCTGCTTGTTGATATCCGGAGAGTCGAAGATCGGCTGAAGATAGAGCCAACTGCGCTGCACTTGGATCCACTCATCCAGCACATCCGACACGGTGCTGAGTGTGCGTTCCCACCGGTTGATTCGCTCTTCGAACGGCTTCTTGAACGACGAGAACTGCATCGCCTGAGTCGTTGTGATCTGTTCGTCCAGTAGCGCTTGGACCTCGTCCACACCTTTCAGCACAAACGTCTCTGTCTCGCGGTAGTCGACGATAGTTAAGTTAACGCCTGCCCATTGTTCCTCCATAGCGTTGAGCGTCTTCTCAATCTGATACTCCTTGCCTGCTGTCTCCCCGATACGTGAAATAGCATCGATATGTTTCTCAAGACCCAGTTCAAGCACATAGCTCAACTTCATGCTCCGATCAGGTCGGAATGTCATGCCAATCTCCTGGTTAATTTGACTCCAGTGGCGATCTTGCATGCCTGGGTTACGCATGGACAAGATGAGCGGGACATGAGGCCGGAACTCGGCGATGTTATCCTTGATCATCGCTGCGATACTGGAACAGCCTTTGACGTTGAGCTTCTCGAACTGCTTGAGAGCCTTCTGGATCGACGCCCAATTGGCCTCAACAAACGTCTCGATCTCTTCGCCGTTGATGTCCAAGAACGCTCCATCCATCCACTTCTTTTGCTCCCTCAGCCAGTTATTGGCTGTCTTCCAGAGCAAAGAGTACGGCTCAAAGTCGCGTCGTATCTTCTGGATCTCGTCGTAGTCTGTGAGTTCCTGACCGAAGAGAACCTCGCGAGAGTTAAAGAGCTTGGAATCGTCATCGGCCTTTGCGATCTTCTGCTCGATGTTTACCACGTACTTGTACACTTGATCCAGCCGAGCGATGTCTGTGTATTGTCGGAAGCCGTCCACTTCACCGTGTAGAATCCTCAACGTCTCTGCGAACTCCGTTTGCTGCTCGTTCATTTCGGTCGAGAACTGGGTCTTCTGCATCTGCAGCATGTGCGTCATCCGCTTCATCTGCTCGTTGATCTTGTTCGGGCACAAACGCACTTTCCAGATCGTCATGAAGTCATCTCGGTCGTAGGGATACTGCAAGTAGTCCAATACCAGTCGATACTTGACGAGCTGCTGACTCTGCGTCAACAGCGGAGCGATCTGAGACGAGACTCCTTCCAAGTACGCGTTCATCTCGGTCAGTTCTTCGATATTCTGCGGCGTCTTCTGCAGCTGTCGGTTAACCATCTCGAACTTCTCCAACAGTTCTTTGGCTAACCCAGTAGAGTTTTTCAGCTGCAGATCCAGCAGTTTCTTCGCTAGACGTCGATGTTTCTCAGCTAAGAGCGTGCGAATACTCAGGCAGTTGACAGAGTACATCCCCAACTCGACATTCGTCGTTGGAATGAGATCTTCCACCGTGTTGGCTTCCTGGTAGTGTTTCTTGATAGCCTCCTGGATCATAGAGAGGTTGGGAGGTTGTTGAGCTTGGAAGTCAGCCAGATACTCGTCCTCTTTGACGTTAATGAAGGGGATGTACGTCTCATAGCGCTGGAGATACGCTCGTAACGGGATGGCCGCCTTGTCCATGAGAGCGTCGATACTCTCACGTAGCGTTATGACCCAGTCTTCATTCGCACTGACACACGAGAGACAGGGCAAGCTACTCCAGAAGAGTTTGCTCATGACCATTTGCTCCACTTGTTTGATGGTCTTCAGGTTGTCCAGCATCTTTCATGAAGATGTCAAGTACCGCCGTCTTGAACGTGGCGATGTTTCGTGCTGAACGAGAAGATATTACCCGTTTTGGGTTCTACAAGGTGGTGTGGGTTCTCTTCGGAGGCGTCTTCGGGGTCTTTCGGTCGCCAACTAGCGTGCACTTGAGCTGCTGCGTCCACTTCGCGTTGATTAATCACGTAAAGTTCTGTTGAAACACTGAGGTTCACGGTGAACAATGATGTCGGGCCCAAAAGTTGCCGCTCTAGACACATGTGCTGCCACTTGATGTCGCCGAGTTTGTGGCGGTTCAAGTCGGGATACGCCACGAACGCTGTCTTGGCATCGACGATGTGTACGTCCCCCAGTGTAGCGTTCTTGACGAAGTCGTGGAACTGATGTAGGGAGTGATCAGTGAGAAAGCGAAGCGTGTCCTTCATGGACAAATTGACGCGTCGGAGCAGCGAACGGAGCTTACTGAACTCGTACGTGTCTTGCCGGGACTCTTGTAAGTAGTACCAGCCTTTGCCTACATTTCCAAGCGAGGTTTTGATGATCGAGGCGACCTTGACCGGCCATTCCTCCGTGATCGTCTTGAGTACTGCACGCTCCAGAGCTTGTTGTCGCTGCTGGAACTCTTCGAGTTTAACACTTCGACCTGGCTTCACACTAAAAAGCTCCAGTTGTAGGATACGGTAGCACTCTTCGTTCACCTTGATCAGAGCTGACAAGGCTTCGGGTGACGTGAGGAATGTCTGGAAGGAGAAGCCAATGAATTGATCCGCGTAGTCGACGGGAGGCGCGATCGTTCTCTTGGCTTTGTTAGGATACGGGACAATTACTCTCGGACAAGGATCCGCTGGTACTTCCTCCTCTTTCGTTAGAAAACCTCGAAAAATATCTGCGTTTCTCCCCATCTCGTGGTGGGAGTCGAACACGATCCTGCACATTGTGCGTACGTAGCTGAGCTGGATTTCGTGCACGATACGCGTCGTGTCCGGGGTTCGAAGACTCTTCCCGTGGAAGACAGCGGTTGCCATGCGAACGATCTTCCCCAAACTGGCATTGCCCAACTTGTGCAGTTCTTCCAGTGGCATACAGTCGATGTAGAAACTCTTCCGAAGCAGGTTCTGGGCTTGAACGCGTGCCAGTTGGGCTGCTACATATCGATCTGCAAAGTTGTTGGGGTCTTCAGCCTTGAAGCAAACATCCAGTCGTCGGCACTCTTTGATTTCCGTCTTGTCCTGACGCTGGAATTCTACCGAAAACAGTCCCTTTTCCGAGTTATAGCCCACCACATATGCCTCAAGCCAAGCGGTAACTACGCCACGAACGTTGTAAGATGCTGCGGTGACTGGTATACGCACACTTCCGTTCAGTTTGCGACCTAACCGGATCCATTCTTGAGGCTCGTGGATCTCGTAGCTTTCGTCGTCAAATAGATAAAGCTCCAGACTGTCGAGGACCATTTTGGCGGATCCACTGGTGTCCATTTCGAGTTTCTGGTACACAGATGAGCTGTAGAATTTATCCATACGCTCCTTTAGTAGCGCCCCGACGTCAATAGATTCGTAAAGCCGCTTCTTTCTCTCCACTTCGACCTTGCGTGGAGGTAGATTGGGTACTCGTTCATAGGGCACAAACACCTTTGGCTCCACTTCTCCATCCTCTCGTTCAGCTGGATCTACCGTCGCTATCACGTGGCCTCCCCCAACTGAAAACCCTGTTGGAAGTTGAACGAAAGAGGCTGGAGAGCTGATGCGAGACGAGTCCTTGATGACGGGTCTCCTTGTCGGCGAGTTCGGGGAGCCAACAGGAGCAACAGTCGGCTCAAAGTTGACAATCCCGATCGGCACTCGCGCTGCCTCTTTCGATGGACTCGTCGACGGGGCCAGACGCACGCCATTTCCATTCTACAGATACAAGAAACATTATGAGACTGTCAAATATCCCGTACTTGCACTGGATGGGTACAGCGTAGACACGTACCGCTCTATGGTTGTCAGCCATCTCCAGTTTCTCGACTAGGCTGAACGTGAATGGACGCTGCGCTCAAACGCCGCGACCTAAAGCAAACCAAAAACGGACAAGTCGTTCACCAATTTCCAGTTCTATTGTTGCTTCAAGACTGGCAACGAGTAGGATTTCGTCATTGCGGCATCGTCGTCTGTGGTCCAGCCTTGTAGTTGTTCGGTTTCTGGCGACTTGATCCGACTGGTCTCCGACGGAGAGGATAATAGTACTGAACCTGCTTCGGCTGCCTCGTGCGTGAGGTCGAAAGCCGATCGAGAACTCAACTGAGCCGAGTACGAGTCTTTCCGGAACGGCGTGGCGGGTGAACTTGGCGTTGACGCCTTAGGCAGGCGGAATCCTGCACGAAGAACGTAATTCGAGCTCGGAGTAAACGTCGAGCGAGACGTCGGAGCCTCGTCGGAGAGACCTGGAGCAGTCACGCATATGGAGCCTCGAACGGATTTCTTTCGCGCCACACTCTTACTAGCGGATGAAAGCCCAACCAGTCGTGTAGTCTCCAGGAACTCGCCTCCTCCTGTGGAAGACACGGTGTCGTCGTGAACGCTGTTGCGTTTGAGTCTGTTGCTGCTGTCCCCACCGCCGCCCATCAGAGTTCGGCGCTTCATACTGGCGATCATCATGTTGTTGATAGTGTTGATGTACAGCTCACGCCGATCCAGCGTGCTCTTGTCGAACTGCTCGCCGATGTTCTTATTGTTCATGATCTTCGTGTGGATTTTCACACGGATCTTCTCCATGATACTCAGTTGTTGTTCCAGCATGTCTTCATCCATGACCTTCTGACTACTCACGTCCTTATTGCAGCCGGTTTGCAGGATCTCGTACTCGGCCCTGGCAACCATCACGTCGGCGATGAACTGGCAGTCACGCACCAGCAATTGCTGTTGCCGCTCGTTGAACTGCTTCCTCCCAGTGCCGTTATTGTCGGCCTTGTGCTTGCTACTGGACCTCGCCGACGTCTCGAACTTCCAGCATTCAGACACAAAGTTCTCGCATACGCGGTCGATCTCGCGGTTCATGTCGGCCAGGTCCATGTTGCGTAGAGACGAGCGGGCCACGACGTCTGCGAAGTACTCTTGTTTCTGCTGGAAGGAAGCATACAGAGCCTCCACACGGTCGGATTCTTTGTCCACGATGGCCACGAGTTTGGCCGTCGCAGTCTGGATCTCGGCCCGGTTCTCTGCTTGCAGCGCCATCATCTGAGACTCGGCAGCGTCCTGTCGAGCCATGATCTCCCCCTTGGCCGTGTGGAGACTGTCCAGAGAGCCCATGATCGTTTGGTTCTCGTGGTACTGGTTCCTGAAATTCCTGTCCACGTCTCGCTGCGTCTCCCCAATCTCTCGTTTGTGTGCGGACGTCACCTCTTCAAAGTGGAAGAGCTGGTTCTTGACCATCGCCAGCTCGTTGTCCATAGATTGATGCAGTTTTTCGTGATCCGATCGCTGAATTACAGTGGACGTCTGCAGGGTACTGATGGAGGTGTCCGTCGCTTCTTTGTAAGCGTTCACTTCGCTTGTCAGCTTCTCCGCGTTCTCGATAGTGCGCTGCAACGTGTGTGACAAGTGGATACTCTCTTCAGACAGCGTACTGAGACTCTGTTGAATACGATCAATCGAGTCGAAAGCTTGCGTGAACTGCATCTTGTTGTGGTCGTCCGTTGCAATAGTCTGCTTCTGTATCGCTGCGATCTTCCTTACACTGTCCGTTGTAGTGAGAGAAATCGCATCGACCTTCGCAGCTACAGCCTTGATCTCGCTTTCCAAGTCCAGATTTACCAGTTCATTCACGATCGTCTGAACGGCGGCCACTTCACCACGTACAGCAGCAACACTCTCGGTGATCTTCTCGACCAGACGGTTCTCCATGTAGATCTTGAGCTCTTCCTGGGCCTTAAAAGCCTTGGTCACTTCACCAGAGAGAAAGTCAACAATCTTCTGCGTCTCCTCGAAACCCGTGGCTTTCTCTTCCAACGCGCTGACAGCAGCCGTGTTCACTTCCAGGTTGGTCGTCGTCTCCATCAACGAGGTCTTGACACCTTCGAGTCGTTGTTCAATGCTGTTCTGCTTCATTCCCCACTCCGTGATCACCTCTTCTGTCCGTGCTTGTTTCCTAGTCAACAGCTCCATCATTTCTGCACTGGAGCTGTTGATATCCTCCTGGTCGGACCGCGCAGTCAGCATGTCTTCCAGAATCTTGTTAGATCTGGCGTCCACCTCGTCGAGCATTCGCTGACGGTCGATCTTCATCTGTTGGCCGATTCGCTGCTCGGCGTTGATCAGATCGTTCCGGGTGACACACGAGCGCAGGTTTTCGTTGAGTTTATCCACTTGCGACTGCACCACAGCTTCGTGCTTCTCGTTGCGTGCTTTGATGACAGCGTCTCGGCGCTTGATCTCAGATTGCAGTCGGGCCACCGTGTCTTTGGCCTCTTGGAACGCCTGCTTCAACGCTGAGAAATCGTTGGTCTGTCGATGCACGAAATCCCACAGAGGCTTAATCAAGGCCTCGACGAACTGAGCGGATACCCCACTCGAGCCTGTTGCCTGCTGTAGCAAGCCTGTCATCTCTCCGGCAGCAGCAAAAGTATCGGACAGATCCTTGGACGACGGCATCCGCATGAGGGACCGAGTGGGGCTTGATGCTGCTTGTTGCTGTCCTCGTGGCCGGCCAGTAGCCTGGCGGTGGTGCGGTGTGGGGTTGTACACCTGTGACGCAGCTCCAGACCCGGAACTCGAGACATTGAGCAGCATTTCGTGACGTAGATCCAGAATCTCTTTCTGCAGCGATGCCACTTGATCTTTCAGGGCCTGGCACTCCACCACAGCGTCCACGTTGCTGGCCACATCAGACAGAGCCTTGATAAGCCATGCAGGTAATCCAGCACCATTTAACAGCTCGTTCTTCTCAAGCGCTTGCACTTGCGCTCGCAATCCAGTGATGACGTCGACCAGTGACTCATCGTTCAGACACAAATCGGGCGTCGTGCGCCATGCCAGACGCGTCGAGTTCACGTCCATAGCGACCAAGTGGCGAACAACCACAGAGCTTACAATAAACTTTGGCTATAAATGGGCTCGAAAGGGACCGCACAGCGCACCACCTTTTTCGAGACTCCACCAAGCAAATCCTGACCTCGTCGCTTCCTGGACTACACCAAAAGCAACAGCCACACAGTTGACAAAGCACACACATAGACAGCAATCGACACTCTCATTTTCTGTGTTAATGCAGTTACCAAACAAGAGGCACATGAGTCGATGCAATGCGAGCGGGAATAGAGTTCCCATACGCCCTACCTCTCTGTCTGTATCTCCCTCTCCCCACAGATGCCCTTGGGTGTCGGTTATTTATTTCATAGGCTTGCGGTCGAGGGGCTGGCCCTTGAGGATCTTGTCAATTTCAGCACCTGACAGCGTCTCGTACTCTAGCAGCGCCTTGGCTAGTTTCTCCAGGTCGGCGTTCTTACTCACAAGAATGTCCTTCGCACGTTTGTAGGAGGCGTCGCACAGCTTCTTCACTTCGTCATCGATGGTCTTGCGGGTGGTGGCACTCGTGTCGTTGCCACGCAGATCGTGGAATACCAAACCCACATCCTCACTCATACCGTACTTTGTCACCATTGCACGGGCAACATTGGTGGCCTGTTGGATGTCAGAAGATGCACCGCCGGTGATCTCGTTCTCGCCGAACGTCAGTTCCTCGGCCACACGACCACCCATGCACACATCCAGCCGAGCTAACAGTTGCTTGCGTGAAATGGACGTCTGATCGCCTTCCGGCAGCTGTGATACCATACCTAAGGCCTGGCCGCGTGGCATGATGGTAGCCTTATACACGGGATGCGCTCCCGGCGTGTTAATAGCGACCAGCGCGTGGCCACCTTCGTGATAAGCCGTGAGCTTGGCTGACTCCGGTGTAATTAGTGCTGACTTGCGCTCCGCTCCCATTAGAATCTTGTCCTTGGCATACTCAAAGGCGTCCATATTCACAAAGTCAGCGCTCTTCATCGATGCACGGAGCGCAGCCTCATTCACCAGATTCGATAACTCCGCGCCAGACATACCGGGCGTGGCGCGGGCGAGCACGTCCAAGTCCACATCCTCGCCGAGAGGAATCTTACCAGCGTAGAACTCGAGAATCTCCTTGCGACCAGCCACATCAGGCAAGTCCACCGTCACATGTCGGTCAAAACGGCCCGGGCGGATCAGCGCATTGTCTAGCACATCCGGGAAGTTGGTCGCACCGATAACGATGATTCCCTTGTTCTGGTCAAAGCCGTCCATCTCCACAAGTAGCTGGTTGAGCGTCATCTTCATGGCCTGCTGCTCCTTGAGCTTACGCGTTCCGCCGATAGCGTCAATCTCATCGATGAAGACGATGCACGGAGCCTTCCGCTTGGCCGACTCGAACAGGTCACGCACGCGACGGGCGCCAACACCCACGTACATCTCCTCGAACTCCGATCCAGAAGAATAGAAGAACGGCACTCCGGCCTCGCCGGCGATAGCACGAGCGAGCAGCGTCTTACCCGTACCAGGCGGGCCAGTCAGCAGCACGCCCTTGGGCAAGTTGCCTCCCAGACGCGTGAAGCGGGCCGGGTCTCTCAGGAACTGCACGATCTCCTCCAGCTCATGTTTAGCCTCCGTAGCGCCCTTGACGTCGCTAAAGCGCTTGTCACTTCCTGTGGGGCCCATGACCTTGGAGGCCGAGCCGATCTTACCGACCTTCTCATCCAACATTGCCCCTAGCGCCGAGACGACGAGGAAGGCGACACCGAGAGTCCTTAACGTCTTCCACATGTTGCTCTTGAAGCTGCCCTCCACCATGGACACGTACATCGGGTCGTGGGCCGACAGGCCCTGGCTACTGCGGGCTACGGCCGGGCCGGCCGCGGCAAGACCCCCGAATTGGCGCGCCGCATCGGCCCCAGCGTAGGCGCCTTCGGTTGGCCGGGCAAGTTTCGGCAGGTCCACGGTGTCGAGACGACCTGTCTTAACTAAAGCCTTAATGTACTCCTTCTGCACGGCTTCGTCCAGCGCGAAGCGGTTCTCCTCTACGCGGCGCACCACGAGGGCCGGATAGTTGTTGCGGTTGAGCTCCTGTAGGAAGCGCAGTTGAGTGTACGGGTCTTCCGGGTTGGCGTTGGCCGCCTGCTCCAGACTCTTGAGCTGTTTGAGTTTACCGCGTTGTGTCATGTTGAACAGCGAGCGTTTGGCGCCGGCGGTTGGCGTAGGCCGCATCAGAGGCTGCACATATCGATGTACGCGTGGTGAGAATACGTACAAAAGAGAATCATCGGGTCATTCTGCGTAAACCTACATTCCTGGTCAGCGCACATGAGGTGAGCGCGTTAGGGCGCGCGGCACTGCGCTGAAGAAGTTGCCGCAAGACGAGCATTCTTGTGGGGGCTGGGGCTGCTTAGGATAAAGTGGCGATGAGAGTGCCGGTCTACTGGTCGACGTTTTGATTGGCTGAAAGTCTGAAACAATTGGCCTCTGTAGGTGGTGCTAGAAATATGGACAGCTAGTATAACGCCTCTTGCGGCAACCTCGGAGCTCATTTGATTGAGAGTTTTGGCCTTCACGAAGATGTGTCGTTTGCCTTCTCACTTTGGAAGTTGTCGCGAGAGAAACAAGACGAAGAGAGTAATGGACGACGAGTATCTCAATGCAGTGTTTCGCTTCAAGCACAAAGCTCCTCGGGGCTGTCAGGACCCAGCACTATGCAAGACCTTAATCCAGGATTTTGCTGCGTTTGTTGCGAATCTGGAGGCGGTCGAGATGCAAGATCATGTCTGCGGTCGTATTGAGCCTCTCGCAGACGATCGAGTTGTGCCAGCTTCAGCTGTCACGAAGCACGAACTAGACGGATTGAAGGAGGCCTGTCATCGTCTTGAGGACGAAGGTACGGAGCGTCACAAGCGAGGAGATGTGTGGTACGACCCGTGGCTTCCGATGTATGGCTGTGCCATCCAACGCACCATGTTGAGTGCCACTAAAGTGGAGCTTAAGGTGATCTTCGTCGACGGATGGGAGCGGATGTTGCACTTCTTGCCAACTGGCCAGTGTGTTCATGGCTCTGCTCCTAAGACGCATCATTTGTTGTGTTGTGCTGACTTGAGCGCGAACTTAATGAAGAAATATGATGCTGCGTTTCAGTTGGAGCTCCTACAAGCGCAACGTCGACACGGGTCCAAGCGAAGCGCGAAGACACACGAACTGGGACATCAGAAGACTCCGCAGTTCATAAAAGCAGTTGTGCAGCGTGCGGTTGCGTCGGCCACTGATGTGGATGAAAGCTCCTCTATTACTCCTCAGGGAGGGACAACCGACGTGGGACAACACACTGGGGGTCTTCCTCGAGATACCTGCTGGCCTCTCGTCCAAGCGGCGATTGAGCAGAATTTGTGCTGTGGGAATGGATTGTTCCGAAAGATTATGGTGTTGTTCCTGCTGAGTTTGTTACGAGCTAAAGTCAACGAAGTTGGCGATGTTTACAATGGGGAATGTAGCATTGGAGTGAAGAATGGATGTGACGCTGTAGACGATTTGTTCTTCATGCTACAAGTTGTCGTCCAGCAAGTGGTGGGTCTGCTGGAAAGTGGATATGACGTGTCAGCGCTGCAGGATCAGTGCTCGACACTACGAGGCAGCATCGAGGGATTCGTTGATGCATTGAATCGAAAAACTGCTAGTCAGTACGTTTTGCCCCGAGACGAAACTCTACGGCGGCTAGAAGACCAAAAATGCCGCGTCAAGATTTACTCGCCTAAGCGAGAAAAAGAGTCAAATTCTAACGAGTCGGTGGAGCAACGTCGACGTCGTGCGCTAATAAGTCTAAATGCCTGTGAGTTTGCTGATGGAGCGTCGTGTGGTCTCGAAACTCTTCTCGAGTGGGCGAAATCCAACAAAGCCCCCGCGTCGTACAAGTGCATTCTGGTGATGCGGACGATTGATAAATTTACGTTTGAGAGATCTCGTCTTCTAACTGACGACACAGCAGGCGGTGATTCGTTTAGTGTGGAGGATGTACAAGACCTCGTTACACAGTACCAGCAAGTTGTCTGTGAGTGGCACAAACAGCCGCAATTGACTTCGACCTTGGACGTGGAGCAACGCAGTCGGGAGATGCTGGTAGTTTGGATCGCGTTTTGTTTAGTTCACCAGAAATGTGTGGTCGAAGTGCCTCTATTGTCGCAGTACAACATCGCGCTCAACTGGAGAGACTTGAAGGTGGCTGTTCTCAGTAATCAGGGCGCCCTTTCTGCACTTCAGCGTGTTGCCAAGTACATTCGTGGATGGAACGAAAACGCTAAAAGAGAGTCCAAGCTCTTCCACTTGACCGATCAGGGTCCAACGTTTGAATTTGGAGAGAAGTTTGTTGCGGCCACTGCTGACATTAAGGCAGCCTACGAGCACGAAGCTGAGGAGTGGCAAGCGCATGTGACGAGCAAGTGGAATGAGATTGAGAGAAAAAAGGAAGAGGCTGTGAACCTCCGCCAACAACTTTCAACTTTGTACGAGGAGCTGAGCTCGAATAAAAGAGAGCTCGCGATTGAGGAAGCTCGACTCTCGCAAGCGTATCCTCACAGCAATCAGTTGCAGTATCGCCAAAGCCTTACTACAACGGAGCTGCAAGGTCGAGTCGGTGTGTGCAACGCCACAATTCAGGAAAAGGAAGCAAAATTAAAGCAGGTTGTAGCAATGCCGCAGTATCTGGTTAGGCCGCTTCCTCCGACGAAAAGTGATGCCTACAAGGTGCTGTTCATGCTGTGTATGCCACGAAATCTGGAGATTCTGGGGAACTTGTGCTTGACCGCACAGCGAGCGCTTGCTCCAGCGAAGCCGACTGCCGAAATGACGGAAACCCCAAAGCTTAGTCAGACTACGTGGCAAGCGTTCCACTGCCACAACGCACCATCGCAACAAGCGAGATATGCGTCCAACAAAGTGTTTACAGCGAGTCCCAGCGAGTATCATCTGCCACAGTCGTATGGACCAAAGTCGATTGATGGTTTGTCGAGTCTGTCCCAGTTCGTATCGGAGTGTGTGTGGAATCCAACGTTGTATGGAACAGCTTTAACGTGGAAGGACGTCGCTGGTGAAACTATGGACCCGTTCAGAGCCACGCCAACAAGTGTGATCATCAGCTTCACCGAGAAACTGGGTAAACCTTTTGCGGAATGCCAGTGGCTTAATAGCTGGCCGGGAGGAAGCGACATCCGTGGAAATCTGGTCTACGCAAATCTGCACCAGCAGCCAAAAGATTTTGACAAGACGGCGTTCATGTGCTGGGAACTCTACGTGCGTATCCGAACCAGCAGTTCCGAAAGCTGCAGTGGGCAATACTTAATGACATGTTTCCGTGGTCGAATTCCTGCGTGAAAAGCATCGTGCGGCAGTCACTGTATCAAGTTGGTGATCTCACGGACGAGGAGGACCCGCAGTTGCTGTGGAAGACAGATCTGTTCAAGGATGAGAGGGGGCTGCGGACTTTCTGCTACTCTCAGAGGAATTTCTGAGAGTCTGGAACAAACTCCGCGTAGATTCGAGTGCGTACCGCTTCTCAGTGAGTTGGCTGGATATGCCCACCAGTTTATTCCTGATGCGAAGGTGGCCGTGGAATTATTTGCTGGAATGGCAACTCGTTGGGCGGAAATCTAAGAGAACAGTACGAGGTTGAATCATCGCCTGAGCAGATCGCGGTATACCGCCAGAAGGAGTGCATCCTGTATGGCTACGCTCTTCTAGCGTACTCAGGGACGACACAGCGGTCCAAAGTGTGTGCAAACTTATCGTGCTCTTTCGTACCTCGTTTCTTTGCTCAAGCATTAGCGTCGCAGCCAGCGACGCCATGCGTCGTGTCGAAAGCAGAGGGGCCGAGATGATGTCTCGTCGAATTACGGAGCTGGTTGTCCAAGTGGGGACGATGGGCCTTAACCGTGTGCTTACAGATTTGATTCGGCTGGTATCTCCAACATGCCCCTTTGGTCTGGAATGGAAACAAGTGAGTGACGGGGATGGCGAGACATGTGGGAGATGTTTTGAGGACGCGGACGCTCACTACGCTATTAATCTGTTCACTGGCGTTGTCCTGACTGATGGCAATGCTCCTGGAGGACTCCCAACCGGAATTCGAGAGCACGAGCGGTTCTTGGCTTTATTCGGACGTTGCAACTTCGAGGTGGTTCGTGAAGCTGGGGTACTTCGGATGCAGCGCCAGTATTGTGATCGCTTGTACGACTTCGCCCTGGAGACTGGCGAGGAACTCTTTGTTCAGGAGCTTACGGTAGATGCGGTGGGCGAGGTCACGGAAACTCTTCAGCTGTGTTCTGCCCAATGGGTCCAAACCTTCAGCACTATGTTTCCTGCACGACTACGAGAACTGTACTCTCACTGGTATTGGGAGGAAAAGAACTGTATTCTCTTTCGACCAAAGGAGGCGAAGTGCCGGAAGGTGTTCTTTGTTGCTAGATTTGATGCGAGTGGAGCACTGCAGTGCTACAAAGTTCCTTTTTGTGACTGGGAACGTCCGTATGAAGAAATCTTGGGTAATCTGGACGACTATGACAGGTTCGTACAGCGATCGTCACTGCCGGGCGTGTTGCAAGTGCTGTCAAACTTCGAGGACGGAGAATTTCTGCACCCGCTGAAATCTTCGAAAGGAGTGATAGCGATTGAGCTGCCGCGTTTCCGGCTGGCCTTTCGTTTAAACAGCAAGCTGAAGTTCGAGTCAGTGGAGCACAAAGGTTACATTCTGGCGATGAATCAGCAGTTCGACGATTTTCTACCGCGGTTCAGTCGGTACTTGGTGCTGGAGCTACAGGACAAATCCGACACGGCACGTCCAGTTATTCGGATGCTGCTTCCGGTAGGCTTCGTGGAAGAAGCTTGGGACGGTATGGTGGACATTAATATTCCCACTGAGGCGGACAGTTTTGTAGATGTGGCGTGCTACGATGTCCATCGCCGATTGAAGACGTTCGAAGCCGAGACGAGCAGCGCGAGACTGCAGCTGGCAGCAGTTTGCACTCTAGCGGGTACAAATGTACCTTCTAAGAGGCTGCAGATGACCGGCGCCCAAGCTGCGGTACAGATGCTACGAGCTTGCCGACCGAGTGGCCTGTATTCAAGCTTTGAAGTGGAGATTTTGCAGTCCATATGTAAGCTTAGCTTTCGTGAGCCAGCGGTGAAGATCCTGGCTGTGTCGCTGCTGGGTGGCGCTACTCGCCTAGCTTTTCTCTTCGACCAAGACAAGACAGTGAATTTGTCCATGGCTGGAGCTGATGAGAAGGCAGAGTACAGTGACATGTGTGTAGCGCATACCCAACGCAATCCTTTGCGCTGTCAACTAATGCGTTCCGAGGAGCGCCGCGTCCTAGGCAAGCTGCAGCATTCGTCGACATGCAATGTTCGTGACGAAACGATAATACTGGAGTCTCCAGGTGAAGAGGATTACGTGAATATGACCGAGGCGAGACTCCAGCGCTTTCTCAGCTACGAAACTGGAGAGGCCAACGCAATGTTCCCACTGGAGTTGAATACTCCAACCAACATGATGATTCACGAAATAATAGAGGAGCTGCGAACCAGCTGGGACTGCCACCACTCGCAACGCCAAATGAAGCTGGAAGGCTCGAAAGATACGTTGGTTGGCTCGTTTGCGATGCTACTGGAGGACATTTCCTCACGCCGAAAGAAACTGGAGACTTGTTTGTATGGATTCTACTCGAAGGCTACGAGTGGCACACGGGATCAACTCTTAACTCTTGTGAACTTTTCGCCAAAGTTGACAATTATCGATCTGGTACGATGTGCTCTCGACGACGAAACGCTCCTCAGACTGGCGCCAAGACTAAGTGAAGGCTCGAGAACAGTCTTTAAGAAGACGGTCCTCCAATTTATGGAGCTTTGCGTCTTGGAGGACAAACTGGAGCGGCTTGTGTGGAAATCATCGCATCGAGATGAACTTTCCGACTCCCAAATACTTGACGAGTTGGTCAACTCTCGTCAGTGGGATTCGGCCAAGTACCCGTACTGGTTGGCGTTTGAGGTGGAAGGTAGACTGCAGATACGACACGAGCAGTTGGTAGTCGCACAGCATCTCATCGATCGTCCCGGAACTGTTTGCCAGTTGAATATGGGCCGTGGCAAGACTCGCGTGATTCTACCAATGTTGTTCCTGCATTTCGCTCATAGTCAAGATGGACGGATTGTTCGTGCGCATTTCCTGGGATCTTTACTGGGCGAGGCTTGCCAGTACATACATCGCTACTTGTCCGCTTCAGCCAGTCAGTTGTGCATCTTGGAGCAGCCATTCCACCGACAGATTGGTCTGGATGTTCGCAAGCTCGAAGTCATTCATGATGTCTTACAAGAGATGAAAATGTTTGGTGGTATTCAAGTGGTCGCTCCTGAGCATCGAATGTCACTGGAGTTGAAGCGCTTAGAATTGGACGAAGACGATGAGGTCTCCGCTGATTTACTGGACGAGATCCTCGACACCAGCCAGTACATTGACGTGCTTGATGAGTGCGACGCAGTGCTGCATCACAAGTATCACTTGGTGTATGCAGCAGGTCGGCCCATCGCGCTCAATCATGGGGTTGAGCGGTGGGAGGCAGCAGAGGCTCTATTGGGAGTTATCGCAAGCAAAAGGCCAGAATCTCGAGTGCGACAGGTTCTGCAAGCTCCCCACGTGGCCTGTTCGCCGAACTATGTGACACGGTTGGGTGCCTACGAAGGCACTCGGTTAAACGCCACAGTCGACAGTACAGTGCCTCTGCGAAAGCAGTTGAAAGAAGCATTGGCGCTGGATCTGATTAACAAGCCTGAGCTGATGTGGCTAAACATGCTTGGGAATGGAGCTGCTCGTGCTTCGCTCATTGTGGCTATTACGGACTCGACCGTAAGTCTGGAGGCTGCGCTTGGCGAGCACATGCAGAAACTCTCGCCGTATGTCAATCAGCTGCTCGCACTACGAGGGCTGGTAGCGTTTGAGGTCCTGGAGCATTGCTCGGAGAAGCGGTACCGTGTTGATTTTGGACTTCCGCTTCCGGAAACGAGACCCAAGAGAATCGCAATTCCGTTCTGTGCCGCGGATGTTTCTGCGGAACAATCCAAATTTAGTCATCCGGACGTTTGCATCGTTCAAACGTTGCTGGGATACTATCACCGAGGTCTCACAGACGAGGAGGTTAGAGAAGCGTTTGAGAAGCTGCTGCGCTTGGACATTTCTGAACAGGAACATCAACATGGTCGATGGTTCTCCAGTGTCGAACCTGGATTGGATGTCGAAACCCGCAAGGCTTTGTGTGATGTACGTCACATCAGTCTGACTGATGCTCGACAATTCGAGACACTCTGCGAAGTCTTCCGGTTGTGTATGGAGACGATCAATTTCTTCCTGAATACGTGCGTCTTTCCGAAGGATACCCAGCAGTATCCGCAACGATTGTCACGGACTGCGTGGAACCTCGCAGCAGGGGGCAACAGTGTCGGGTTCTCGGGAACAAACGACAACCACCGTCTCCTGCCGCTGTCAGTAGCGCAAAAAGAACCTGATTACGCTGTGCTGCGCGGAACTAATGGAGATATGCTCCATAAAATCATGCATGAAAGCCATGGCTACGAGATAGTGCGACCGAGCCAAGACAGCTCTCCAATTGCGTGGAAGAGCGTGCTGCTGTATGCGCTGTCCAAAGGTGCGCAAGCTCTTATCGATACCGGCGCTTTGTTGGCCGGAGTGATGAACCACGAAGCAGCCAACTATCTTGTTCGGCAGCCAGACTTTGGCTTTGCTGGTGTGACGTACTTCGACAATCGAGACCAAATGAACTGCTGGATGGTTGCCGAGAGGGAAAGGCGTCTTGTAATGCCGCTGAAAGAGTCGTCGATGCTGGAGAAGGAGACGTTCGTGGTTTTTGACGAAGCTCGATCAAGAGGAGCCGATATGAAGCTCCCACCAAGCGCTGCTGCCGTGCTGACTCTAGGGCCAAAACTTAATAAGGACAAGTTGATGCAAGGCGCAGGACGCATGAGACAGCTGGGGCGTAACCAAACTCTGTGGATCGCTAGCTTCGATGAAGTGGCTCAAAGTATTCTTCAAACCAAAGCTACGCACTGTGACGTCTCTGATTTAACCGCAGTCGACGTTCTGAACTGGGTCGTACATAACACGAAGGCGGAGTCTGCGGACGGACTGGAGTGGGCTGGGAGTGGCTTTCATTATCGGGAGACTCGGCACGACCGAACGGCGGAGTGGGTTCCTGAAGACTGGTCTCTGGCGAAAATGTACCAAGACAAGCTACGTGCAGAGAAGATCACTCACGTCATTGAATCCAAGGCTTGCTGTAACTTTAAAGACATCGATGACGACGTGGTAGCACAAATTTGTAGCAATGGTCGCAAGTACGGGTTGGAAGACGAGGTCTGCGTCACTGCGCATACGGACGAGTGCGAGCGAGAGCTGAAGCTGGAGGAGAATGTGCAAGAGCAGCAACGCGTCGAAGTGGTGAACTGTTCCCCAGCACAAGAGAAGCCATGGAATCACGCTGAGATCTTGGGTGCTATTTCAGTTGAGGATCGGGATGGGGTCGTTCGAGTAGAGGCCTTGGAGAGCTTCATATGTCAATGGATTTATCCCAAGGAATTCGCACGTCTGGCTTGGTCAACGACTCGCATTTTTGGAACGGAGAATTTCTACTCCACCATTTTGAAACAGGCCAATGTGGATCAGATGAACGAGTTCCTGCGCGTCATTGATGTTGTACTCGTATTCGACAACGGTCAAGTCCTCCTAGTGTCCGAGTGCGAAGCCGACCACATTTTGCAGCTGCTGTGGTCTGCTTCTGCCTCCGCTTGTTGCAGCTTTCGCTTCTTGAATCTCGCCTTTGCGTGGGACAATATTGGCCGATTTGCGAAGCTTCCGCGCTTGTTGAAGGTCGACTTGGCTCTAGGTTCCAGTCTAGATCGAGCATTTCCGCTTTCGGTAGCAGCTTCATGCCACTTGTACAATGGCGAGACGATGCTTTTAAAGGATCAGCAAACGGCAATAGATCCTATTTGCCGTGTGCTGCTTCGGCCACTGGCCCAGCGAGTGGCGACAATAAGCAACATCGTAAAATCGCGCGGCAACGGCCACAAGTGGACACATTCGTGTCTGTACAAGTTATGCTACGGCATGGACATCGAAGACATGATGACGTGCGCTTGCTGAAAAGAACGAAATACAGAATTTAGTCTAAATTACGCTCATCCTTAAAAAAATATAGAACACTTTTCTAAAAGTTAAAATAGGTTGTACTTTTTTAAGCTTAGAACTTTCTAGACCAAAAAGTTATTCTTCGAAGAAAGCGCACATTTTATTTTGGTCCAACGCTCTCTTAAAATAAAGCACTTCTGCGCGCGCTTTTTCTGGAGTTATCTACTGTAGAATGAAGCTGCCGAAGAATTTTGTACTGAGCACCCCGCATAAAAGTGCTTTACATGTATATAAAATTTTCTGGTCTAGAAAGTTCTAAAAAGAGCAAACAAAACATTTTGTTTTATAAGTACAGAACCCACAATCGGATTTTGCGAGCCGAAAGCAAGTCTATCTTCGTGATCTTTTCTAGCTTTTCTAACTCGATGGCTTCTCCAGCAGCGTCTTCAGTTGCCGCCGAGAAGATCAAGGTGACCATCAAGAGCGAGACCAAGGCGTTCTCACTGGAGACGACCCCGCATGAGAGTGTGGCTGGCGTCAAGGCAGCCTATCAGGAAAGTGGGGAGAATGCGAACTTCATCCTACTGCTACACAAGGGCAAGGAGTTGCCAGACGAAAAGACGCTGGGCGAGCTCGGTATCACAGACGGAGACGTGCTCGTGCACATTGAGGCGGCTCACCAGCCCTTCCACCCGCTCAACTACAAGCACCTGGCCGAAAGTATCAAAAACCGCAGGAAGCACGAGGACAACAACATGCAGATGCTCAAAGAAGGTGGATTTTTACAACAGGTAGAATGAGGTAGAACAAGCACTAAACTGTTATGCTGCTGCTGTTGTAGACAACATTTGGGCCGCGGGATCCGATGGCACGGTGCACCGACTGGGCATGGAGAAGAGCATCATCTCACGCTCGTTGAACGGCAGTTTGCCGCCGCACTTTGCCACCAAGAAAGCGGGCTCAGGTCGAGCCTTTTTCAACCAACTGTCGGTACGCGTCAATGGCTGCAGTTTCCACGTGCTGCCGAGCATGGAAGGTCGCTGGAACGGAGAACTCACCACTATGCCGCCCCAAGACGAGGGCAGCCAGGTGTGCTCAAACGACCTGATCTTCCGCGACGACGAAGGAGTGTGGAGTCAGCGCCAGTCAAGGACGACCATGAGTGGATTGACGTCCATGCAGCACATGTGGATAAAGCCCGTGTCGGACGGCATCCTCAAGATCGAGACAGACGACCCGTCCCTGCGTGGCTCCGACATCACCATGCAGGAGCTCGGCACGAACGTCATCATCATCACGGCCACCTCCAAGCGCTCAGGTACGACAGCAATGGCCTTCTCACAATTGCTATCACCGGATTAACTCGTTATGGTAAATTGCTGCAGGTCGTCCGCTGATGGTGGAGACAATCACAGGCATCGACAGCTCGCGGCGTCTGCGCACAATTCAGCGCTTCGACGAATCGGGCGCATTCCGATCGGTCTATGTCATGAACGAGGTCCGAGTGGTCGATGCGGTGTCTGGCGCCATGGAGAAGTACGACAACGTCTTTTGAGGATTTCAGACTGGCACTTCCATCATCCATAACCAACGAAGACGTGTGCGACCAACAAAGGAGTAGTGACTTGAACGCGTAACAATGAACCGCTGCATTTCGTATACGTCTAACCTGCTATTATGGTTGTCCATCGTCTCTTCATACACCACCCACTTCGTCTAAATACCAGTCTTCATAGATCTCCAGTACTAGTGCACACGACTGATCTACGCTTTACCGTCTAGAATTTCCCAAGATGCGCGCTCGAACCAAAGTGCCATCGGTCTAGGAGAACTGTTCACGATTTCTGCCACGTGGTTAGGCGTCATCCCCGGGAGGATGAACACGTGGTTGATACGCACTAACACATCGCCGAGAAACACTTTGCCGCTCTGCTCCACTTCACCAGGCCGTCCAAACTCATCCTGTACAAAGGAAGTGACGGCGATTAATGTGCCCTGCACACCTAATGTCAGGTATAACCGGCTGCGAGTAACCTTCACAGTCACGAGACTAACATTCGACTTCGGCTTGTTCGCTGCACTTTCGGCTGAGTTTTCTGGGCGCGACGGGGTGCTCGACTCCACGATGAAATCATTTGGCGACAGGAAAGACATTCCACGAGATGCGGCCGATGCCTCCCGCTCTGTCGGATTATCGGTCGATGTACTTGGAGACAGGAACGACATTGTGTGTGACACATCTTCCATCTCTGTATCTGCTGAAGCCTCATTCGGCGACGTGGGAGCTGCTGCTGTGGTCATCAAACGCTGAGCAGCCACAGGATCTCGCTCAGCTAGTTTTGCTATTGTCTCGACGTCCTGCATTGTCAGCAGAGTAGAGGACGCAAGTGTGCTAGGTCCATGGGGGCTTTCGCGAGTCGTATTGGTGGTCCAATTACTTGTTGGTACTGGGTTGGTCGATTGTTGTGACGTAGTCTGCTGGGTTCTAGCAGGCAGTGACGAAGTTTCTCCCTGTTCTGGTTCGTTCTGCGTTAAATCGATCGCCTGCGCTCCATTGATCGTAGCGGCCTGGGACCGTCTGGGCTCGTTTGAAGGCCTATCCACCACGGACACTGCTTTCCGTTGGGCCTGCAATTGCTGCACTTTTTCATAAAGTGTTGCATTTGTACGCCGCTGATTCTCCTGGATGTGCTGGGCTGCGTTTGTAGAAATCTGCGGCTGATTCATCGGTCTTGCCGGTTGTATACCTCGCACAGAGTATCCCGCAGCCACTCGCATGGCAGCAGTGCTGACAACGCTCTGCATATACTGCTGCTGGGCTTGATAAGAAGGTATTGTGCGGATCGAAGCTGCATTTGCCGGTACGTAAACACCACTCGGGTATCCAGGGACATAGCTAGCATGTCTAGCTACAGCGTTCTGGCTCAATCGTTGCCTGATAATCTCCTTGTTCGACAGCTGCTGCGACGCATTTGTCCACTGCTGAGCTAGACTTTGAGCCAGTGGTCGCGGGTGTGCAAGCGCTGGATGCGGAGCAAACGACGGTGGTACCACAGCAGAAGCTGGTGCAGCGGGTGGCTGCGGCACAGGAGGCTGCGGAGCTGGCACCGGCTGCTGCGTCTGCGGAGTCCGCGTCTCAGCCGTGGCTGCTGCTGGCGTTGCCGGAGTTCGCTGTGCCTGTTGAGTCTGTGTCTGTTGTTGCTCTTTTGGTAGCTGCGAGTGCAGCGGCCGATAGAATGTCAACGTGATGGGGCGTTGGGGCTTCCGAATGAGCTCTGCGAGGTCTCTGCTGGTCATTCCCAGTACTCGCGTCTGGTTGACAGCTAAGATCATATCTCCGACCTTAACGCGTCCTGTGGCCTCCATCTCTCCCACCTGCCCATCCTCCGTTTTGAGTAGGTCTTTGATGAACGTCTCGTTCTTCACATTGGTGTAGATGGAGGCGTAAAGTCTCTGGCCCCAAAGACTCACTTTCTGGATGTTGGGGAGGGGGGAATTGTCCACCGGGTCGTCGCGTTTCCGTTTGAGTTTGTGCAGTCTCATGACTCGGAAATAGTCATCTGCTGCTGCTGTGTCACTTGTCTCCTTGTCCTGTTGTTGTGGGTTCTCTTTGGCGTGTGATTTGGCTGCCTGCGCGTCCTGCAGCACCTCGTCGGCCGAAAAAATGTCCACGTCGCCGTCGTCGAAGCTTACCTTGTAGAAAAGTCCGCCTGAGACCCAATAGCAGCCCACGACGGTGCCCCAGAAAGCGCGAGAGCCAAAGCTCTTACGCACGCGCACGCCAAAAAGAACATCCTTCTCCACGCCGACCACAGTAGCCTGCGCATAAAACGTTAGAAGATACGTATATCACTAGATGGACTAGGTGGGGGTCGTGTCCATACCGGCAATGTGGACTTGGTCTGCGCCTCGGCGTCTACCATCGTACAGTGGCGTTGGGTAGAGCGGGAAGTGACTTGGTGGCGGCGGATTGGTTTTGGGTGACTTTGTACACGGACCGATGATTGGTTAAAAAGAAGAATAAGATGGTGTGCAACACGCCATTTACAATGAAAAGAGTTGAGTTGACATGTAAGTTAAATTTTAAGTGTGGCGAGGGTGCGTGCGCGCCGGCTATTTGATGGTACTTGCTGCTTGAAGCGGGCGAGGGCTTCTTTCGCCGAAGCGTCGGAGCTGGGCATGTTGTCCACGGATTCCGGGGTCATCCCCTTGAAACTGTGAGGAAAGTCCACGAGAGTGAAGGCTATTGAGAGTTTTGCTGCGGTACCACGCTTCGTGGTGACGTTGTTGTTGCCCTCGTGAGGTTCTTCATAGATAAGAGGATCGCAGTCTGTAGCACCGACCAGACCAGAAACGTCCTCCTCACTACCTACAGTCGGGGGCGAGTCGCACTGGTTCGAGTACTCAGCTTCTAGTTGAAGCGTCTGCAGATTCAGTTTTAAAGGTTCAAGGAGTGTACGTCGACGGAGTTCAACAACTTCCAGAGAAGAGCTGCGCATGTTCTTCCCCAGCTTCACGACAGGCTCGTCACTCTCGGCTAACGTTTCGCTAGGCGACGACGTGGTCTCCTCAGCGTTCCCAGACTTTTCAGTCGGATCAAGCATGGACTGATCAGCGTCATAGTCAGCGTCCGAGCTCATTTGCTCAACAGAAATGGCGTCTGCGTTCTTGACGACATGTCGTTCTGCAGACACCGCATTGTCGAGGTTGGACCCGTAGCTGCTAAGGAACTTGTTTAAATTGTTTGACCGGGCATTAGTAGTGATCTCCGCCTCCTTAGCAAGATCGCTGACCAACAATACGGGAGCAACAATTCCGTCCCGTGCGTCTCGTCGGCGAGATTTTGTCTGCTGAGTCATCCCAGCGGTAGGCTTCATCGTGGCACCTTTTGTGCTGTTTTTAGCCTCGCTCGGCGCCTTCATGCGTGACTCAAATCTACTGCAGAGACTTTGAACCATCTGGCGAGAGCGAAGTTCCTTGAGAGCACTTCGGATTGACGACTTCATCGGACCGACAGGTGAGCGGATCGGGATGGAGGAGAGGTCCGGCAACGCCAGCTTAAGACGGCGTTCATGAACAGGTTTCTGGATAACGATCTCGACCCCTTCCGCGCTCAACTCCTCTTGCTTCTTCGAGTGATCTTTCAGCGGCGACAGTCGACCAGTTAACCAGTGCCTGGTAGCGAACCCCACCACTACCACAGTGACGAGCAGTAACAGTGCGACGAAAACTGCCATCCCGGAGATCGTGATTCTGCAGACCTTCGCCGACACTTAGCGTCTTTTGGAATGAGCTATGTTGCGCTGAAGCGGACATAGCTGCAGAGATTCACCATGATGACAGCTCAAATCCGCGACATCAAGGTACTTAGTCGCTATTTTGGCTCATTGGAACGCCCTACCATACTCGAAGTCTTGTCAACGGTACTTCTGCTAAAAATGAACGATATAGTGGCAGGTTCCATGGATATGTCAACGTTTCCTCTCTGAGACGGATAAGATTACCTCTTGTCTCGTTTGTTCTGATGACCATGCCGATTCGAATTGAATTTCGTGTAAAGACTCCACGCTGGTTTATTCGTCTCGTGATGGTGAAAACTGGTCGATGGCTTCTGTAGCTGCAGCATTCTGTTGGATGAGATAGCCCTTGGGTGAAGTGGGTCGCTGCACAGTTCCTTCCGGATGCCGCATGGTCTCAGACTCCATTGCAGCGGTACCTCCGTCGTGCATCGATGAGTCAAGTGATTGGAGTTGCAACATCACTTCCATCGAAAGTGGCTGCTGGACTCGGTCGAAGCGTTCGTTTCTAGCTGCGATTGATTTGGTCCTGCCAGAGACTTTGCGAGTACATGTAGCAGACCCGCCGAAATGTTGAACGGCTGCCATGGCTGCTTGCTTCAACTTCCTGCCTTCAAGATTAAGATTCATGTCACTCGAGTGCTTAAACCTGGACAGAACGGATAGCTCCTCGGCTGACATCCTGAATAAATAGCACGAGCAACAATTGAGTCAGAAACACCCAATGCAAATCCTCAATCAGCCTTGTGTACCTCCACGAGTGGCGTAGGATTTCTTCAATAAGTGTATAACGATCCATCTTCTTCAAAATCCTCTTGAAACTCTTGTTATGCAGCCACACAGAGTAGCACCTTTCACAGGAATCTGGTTGACCTGGTCGTTCTCGATGCACAATTCGGTTTTCGCAGTCATGAGAAAACAGCATAACTCTGTAGTAAACTCGCAAATCATCACGTAAGACAAAAAATCACCTAAGTAACCCCCCCCCCATTTAAACTCACTTGTCTGATCGAAGATCCCTCACCACATTGACTCGATACGTCCCCACATAGTACTTTGCAAAGGCATGAACTAGCTCCACATTTTCACGATAAAACGCATCCGGCACGATACCCGGACAGCGCCATCCAGTCGTCGGGAGATGAACCAACACTGCAGTACAGGGTACATTCACTGGTGTCTTCTCTCTGTTTCCAACCTCCCCATACCCTTCTTCACCTTCATCTTCACTACTGACAACCCTCCGTCGCTTGGGCAGAATCCGTTGAGCCTCAATCTCCATCTCAATCTCGCGTCGTCTCTCTTCCTCCTCCGGCGTCGTCATGTCTGAGGTGCCATTGTGAGCCACGACGCGACTCTTGTGCATCACCCAGGCAGCCTCCTGGAATTTCCCGTTCATCTTGACCTTGAAACCTTTTGGGTCGTTGGGTTTGCGGCCTCTCTGAGTTCTGCAGCGTCAAAGCCAGTGAAAAACTCAGACAAAGGAAATACGATACGCAAAAAAAAAATCGCCTACCGCTCATAATGCTCGGCGCAAGTACGGCAAATAATCCACTCGCCGTTTTCCTCGTCTAGCTCCTTAATTTCCGAGTCCTGGCGCACGCTATCGGGCCACTCCGTACGTCGACGACGAGCCTCATAGGGCGCTAGCATGTCAAACTGGAAATGTCATTACTCTCCCTCGCTATAGTGTGTTCCAACGCCAATTTATGTTGAAGTTGTCTCTATTTGGTCTATTTGTTTGGCTATTTATTGGACGTGCTGGGTGTGGGTGTCTTACTCGTCTTCCGAGTCGATGAGCTAGAGGAGCTTAGCGTGGCAACACTGTCGCCGATGTATCTATCGTGATCTTTCGTGTGCTGGATGAGAGCTCGCCATGCGCGACTTTGGTTCAACAGCTTCGAGTTCCCGACGATCCACAGACTGCTCTTGGCACGAGTGATGGCGACATTCATCCGTCGCTCGTCAGCCCAGAAAGCGTCGAGCACGTCGTCATCCTCATTGCCACGATTGCGTTTCTTTCTCTTCCTGCGGCCGCCATAACTCGTGCGGACACACGAGTAGATGATAATCTCCTTCTCGCGGCCCTGGAAGCCGTCCACTGTGTTCACTTCGATTCCAAGATGGCGGTCAAACTCTGCCTCCAGCTTTCCGACTGCTCCACGCACTTCATAGATCTGTTGTTTGTACGGCGCGATGACACCAATGCGCTTCTTCCACTCGATTCGAGGGAACTTCGTCAGCAGGCGTCGAACTAGTTGGATCACAGCCTCCACCTCGCTCATATTCCGTAGCGATGTGGACCCATTCACCTGAGTTTGAGCTCCTTGCACATCCAAAAACAGTAAAGGCTTGAAAGCACGGTCGTGATGGTAGTCCTGCGTAGTCCACTCGCGCATGTTGTCGTCCTGTACCAGCCTCCCTCCGTAGAAGTACGCGGACGGGAACTCGGAGATCTCAGGGTGCATTCGATACTGCTGATTCAACAGCAACACTGGCGAGCCATTTTCAACGAGCCGCTGCTGCAGACTCCGATCGTAGCCCATGGACACGAGGCTCTTCGAAATCACAGTAGCCGGTAGTTGTCGGTGATCGCCCACCAGTACAACTCGATGTGGTCGGAACTTGAACGGGATAAGTGTGCTCGCTTCTACAGCCTGGGCTGCTTCGTCAATGATGAGCGCGTCGAAGTCCTGTGCAAACTCACACATCGCCACGGATCCCGCTCCACTAAGCGTGCAGAACACGATCTGAGCATTCTTAATGATTGCTTGGCGCGCCTGCTTCGCAGTCGGAAAAGTGCTGCGGTGCTTCGTCACCAAACTTTCGAGTAGAACTTCTTCCACCTCACGGGCGTATTTTCGCATTTTCTTGCGGTTTTTCTTGCTTTCGCTGGCTTCTCGAGCTGCGGCTACGCTTGCAAGTTGCTGGCTGCTTTCCGGGCGACCGACACGTACGATACGAGGGCGGTAGGACTCTCCTTTCTCGCCGTCGTACAAGCCTTCGCTCAAAACTCGTAGCACCAGTTCATCGACGGCAGCATTACTTGGTGCAGCCACGAGAACACGAATCGAAGTTTCAGCTACAGTCTTAGACACCGCAGACGCTCGTGCGTTTTGCAGTGACGCTCCCACCCGAATACGCGTCGTGCCCTTTGTTTTCTGGAGTGTAGCTAGACCAGCACCATCCAGCAAAGCAGAAAGAAGCCCGAGAATCGTCTTAGTTTTACCTGTACCGGGCTGTAAAATTACCACGAAGTTAACAAAGGGTGCGGTTAGTTCATGCGAGGAAAGTCCAAAGTCAAATAAGAGCACAGCCTACCGGTCCTTGAATGATGACTCGGCTATCTTCTCCCAGACATCCAAGGATTGCCAGGACTTGCGAGTCGTTGTAATGCTTGTGAAGATACTTCAGTAGGCGCGACGAGAGCATCGAAGATGAAGCGACAGGTTTCTTCTCTGGCCTAGTAGTTGGTACTAGCTGTCCGCGTAGTAGAACTTGCTTCAGATCGTTTGGAAAAAACGATATTGCCTTTATCGCTTGGAATTCGCGGGCACTTGTGGTTGTGTTGTGTACTTGCTGCATCGACCATCGCCAAGTGGGCGCTCGTTGATTGGAGAGACATAACTCAGTTAAAACACCAAAGTTTTCGACTGCATCATCTCGGTCTCGTTGTTGAGCACGAATAAGCACACAGATCTGGTCACTTTCTCCACCTCCGATCTTACCTCCAGGACCGGTTTTTCCTCCAACTGCAACCACAGAGTCACACAGGACTACACCAAAAACGCACATCTCGTAGTTTTTCCAGCGAGGAGAGCGGAGAAGCACCAAATCACCACTGATGAAATCCGATGAAGCCCTCTTACCGAGCCCAGAAGCATCAAACGTAAGGATGTAGTCGTTGCTGCTGGATGTGTTTCCGGTAAACCCACTTTCTAAGAAAATGGCTCCCAAACTCAGTCCCAATGACGGTGTAGAGATCCCCTGGGTGCCGCAAGGTGATACTGACGCGAGTGACAGATGTCGAGTGGGGCCTGAGCCTCCTCCTCCTTTTCTATCCGTGGTGCTGCTGACGGATGCGACCAGCTCTTCCATAATCGCCTCGAGCTGTACATTGCAATAGTCTTCGATTGACGAGTGCTGTGCTGGTATCTTCCCACCCGCATGCTGTTCAAGATGCGCCCTCTTCCTTCCAGATTGACGGACATTTCGCGGTGACAAGTCCAGCAGAAAATCGTAGAACTCGTCTAGTGCTGGCCAAAGCAGAGAGCTCTTTACATTAGGAGACTTCTTTGCAGTAGAAAACGATAGACCTATGGGTTTCCGTTTTTTGGATCTCACTGCAACCACGGGCGATGACGTCGACGTGGCAGCGGACGGGATCGCCTTACATTCTCGAAGACCTCCCGCCAATGCACCCTGTTTAACACCAGCGTTGGCCATGGAAGATGACTTAGTTTCGCTTTTACGACTAGGGTCGCTTCCTGCAGCTTTCAAAGCGGCCTCTAATACGTTCGAGCTGGGCGTGTCATCCGTGTAGTTTTCTTCGATTTCCGAGTCCGATTCTGATGACGATGAGGACGAAATTACCATAACATCCCGTCGTTTTACACGCTTTACTCCAATGAGTTCACCTTCATCTTCGCCAGCATCTTCATCATCCTCGTCTGAGTTGCTAGGGGCAGTGGTTCGCTCGAGAATTTCACTGCTTGCTGGCGCGTCTGGCTTATCAGCTTCATCCATAACCACTGCTTCACATTGTTTAAAGTCGCCAAGGGTCGACGATGGTGGCACAGAATCCAGCTCACCTCCGGAAACGCCTTCCATGCATTCAGCCTCGCCAGCCTCCACTTCGTCTTCTTGATGAACTTTGTACTTGTCGTAGTTTCCGCTGTCAATTGTTGACGTTCGCGAATATTCTGTCACAGAATCGTCGTCATCTTCACCTTCTTCTTCATCTTCAGACATACTGACATCCGACACATCACCATCGCTTCCAGTCGCGGCATGCACAGATTGCTGGTCTACATATACATTCTCCTCTGGTGGAAAGAGTTCTGTTGACGGCGCTTTTTCTGGTGGCACCTCACCTCCTTGGTTTGGTTTCTGCTCATATACAATCTGTTGTTTGGTTAATGTAATGTGATCAAACAATGGCATTGACAGCGCTTGTGCCTGCGATGTGGCGCCACTCGACAGCTCTAACACAATGTCTGGGTCTATCTGCTGCTCAGCGACAGTCTCCTTGTCAGTACCAGAGTAGCGCTGATCTCCACGTGTACTACCCTTCTCGTCAGTAAGTGCGGCTACATTGCCTTGCTTGTCTTCGACTCGTAGTTTCGAGTGCGCACTGTAATTTACAGAAGGATGCTTGCGATTCGGAATCTGATCGACTTCCGAGACAGAAGCTGTTTGTTTCATATCCTGATCGCTATCGTACCTAGCCAAGTCCAAGTATCGGGCTGTCGATTTAGCTCCGGTGGTATTAGACTGCCCGGATTCATTTGTGCGGTCATGGGCAGCAGATTCCTCTTTGTATTGTTTTTCAACAGGAGCTTCTGACAGCGCAGGTGACGTTACAGCAGCTTGGAGAAGTTCATTGGACCGCCTGAGTACTTCATTTTCTCGTCTTAAGCGTTCCATCTCTTTCAGCACCTCAGGCGCCAATACGGGAGCGGATTCTTGTTGTTTGATGTCCATGGCTGCCTCCGTCGACTGCTGATGAGCAAAACTATGAGGCTCTATGAGTTGCGCTTTAGCTTGTTGTTCTACAGCCGCCGTCTTTACTGGGGCAATAGGCGACGGAGAATTTACCGGACTGAACGAATTACAGGCTGCAACAGCTCCAGCTTCACCAGACGGAGGTGATTCTTTCCGCGGCGTTGCAAGCTTTCTTTCCACCTCCTCAAGCGCCATTGCAAACATGAGATCTTCTTCCATGTCATCAGCAATAAACTCGTTCTTTACCAGGTTAGCCGGTGGACCAGCCGACGAGACAAAACCTGCGTCAACCGAATGGCTGGCAGTTGGAGGTGCAGCTGACGTGTCTGGGAGATGCTGCTCAGTAGTACTTGATCGTATTGGGCTCGACTCCGCTATTGCCAATGCTGCTTCACTCGCCGCATCCATGACAGGATTTAGAGCAGTAGTAACCGCAGACGTCTCAATTTGTACAGGTGAAGCATCAGGATTGGAGTATGTAGCGGCCACTGCAGGAGCAGAAAACGCAGGAGCTGTAGCTATAGCAGAAGCAACGACTGCACTTGATGCAGCAGCTGGCTTCATATCCCGAGACAGCGTCTGGATACGATATTCCACCCTGTCCCTCTGTTCTCGTTCCAGCTGCGCTTTCACTTCTGCAAGTGTCATCTTCGTTGCAGCGCGCGTCCTCCTCTTCACTGGTAATTTTTTCTCTGCTGTCGCTTTCTTTCTAGTTACAGCAGTCGCAGTCTTCTTCACCCTTGTCTTCTTTTCTGCTGCTGTTGCTTTCGTTGCAGGCACCCGAGGTGCCCCTGTCTTCCGTGCTGTCGTCTTCGAATCGGCTGTCTTCGATTTGGCTCGCATTCTCGTCTTCTTCACGTCTTGAGTTAGATCTTCCACTGCATTGGCTCCAGCGCCACAACTAGCGTCTTTTGTGCCGGAGGTAGCCAGGCGTTTCTTAAACTCGCGCATACCAACTTCCACGCTCACAAATTCGCTCTTATCACGACCGGAGCGGCGCGTCTTCTTGCGAAACGTGGCATTGGGCTCCGCCTTGCGCTTCTTGACGCTGTCAGCGTCTGCGTCCATGCGGAGAGCCTGCAGACAGCGACGATTTGATGGGCGAAGATGTGCGGCAAGTTTTATCCAATAGAAACAAAGTGTAGCCACTGCGACCCTTAGTGTGGTACACAAATCAGCGCGCTTAGTTGATTAGAAGCGCGCTTTACTTACATCACGCGACCTTCACGCAACCTTTGATATAGACGGCCCACCGCCAGTCGTAGCTTTCCCCAGAAATCAAGAATTCGAGCCAACTAAAATGTCTGAGGTCGAGAAGAAGGAGGGGACGACGCCTAAGGTCGAGGCCGAGGAGACTGATGCCGCCAAGGACCCGGAGTCGGAGGAGCCGCAGGCCTACTTCGAGCCCGTTGTGAAGCTCGACGAGGTCGAAGTGACCACTGGCGAGGAAGAGGAGGAGGTTATCTTTAAGCAGTACGTTGCTAAAAAGCATTTTGAAGCGTTTTTATAGGTATTTTATCTTAAACCAATTTATTTATCTAGGCGTGCCAAGGCATTTTGCTACCGTGAGTCGCTGTTGGACAAGGGAACAGGAAAGAAGACGTGGTGCGAGCGTGGTGTGGGTGATGTGCGTTTCCTCAAACACAAGGAGCACCAGAAGGTGCGCATGCTCATGCGCCAGGAAAAGACGCACAAGATTTTGGTGAACCACCTGGTGGAGTCGCGTACGGAGCTCACGCCTAACATGGGCAGCGACCGCGCCTGGGTCTTTAGCTGCTACGATTTTGCTGAGGGCGTCGTGGAGACTCAGGTATTCGCGCTGCGCTTTGGCAACGCTGAGAACGCCCAGAAGTTTAAGGAAGCGCATGACGCCGCCAAGGCCAACAATAAGAAGCTTGAGGACGGTGCTGATGCCACTGACACTTCGGCTGGAGACGACGCTGCTAAGGCTCTCGAGTCGCTGAACGTCAAGAAGGAGGAATAGACATGAAGCGAGGGACACGCTGTGGACATTGACTAGCTGATAAGTAACGCAGCAACACAGGGACCAAGCTGTGGCAGGTGACGACGAACTGGGACTCGGAACAGGTCAGCAACGTGGTGAACAGCTTGTGGCTAGTTGCCTGCTGAGGTTTGGCTCCTTCTTGGAAGTTTTTTTTTCATTTACTACATTTTTTCAGACCATATACTTCGTCTTCTTCGCGTATAGTTTGATAATGCGGTGATGTTTGAGGTGGAATAGTACTACGTAGTAGGAAATATGGATTCTAAGGTTCAGCAGGTAACAGGCGATCGATGGAGCCATCTTGGACGTCGAACGGGTCACTACAGCTTGCGACGGTGGTCGACCTGTTGTAGACTGAGACTCCCACGATGACGAGAGAGAAGCCCACGAAGTAGAGACTGCTGAGCTCCTCGTTGAAAAGATACTTGGCTGCAACGACCGCGAAGAAATCGGATGTAAGCAGCGACAAGTTGAAGACGGCGGCATCGCCTGTAGTTAGGAAAATCTGCACGAAGTCATCGAAGTTAGATCCAGTAACTTGGGGATGCAACAAACTGTCGTACGCACCGACGTGGCACTGTACATGACGAACAACGTGATGATGTAGCCAAGTAGACACAGCATGCTGGGCCAAGTCCTGGTTGCATGTCGTAAGCGAGTTGGTTTACCACTTTACGACTACTGCAAAGAGACATTTCGTACCAGTCTACAGCTCGGACAATGTCTCCTTCAAAATACGTCGCTTGTGCAGAACTGATGAGAAGGCCAAAGAGCCCTATTAGACCGAGGACCTCCATCTGCCATCACCGTCGTATTTAGCACAATTCACGCACCACAGGCAGCAAGCTACTCACACGTCGATTCTCCTTCTTGACGAGATATTCTTGTCCAACATTTGAGCAGGCATAGACAGCACTTCCAAACAAGCAGAGAAAGTCTCCATACAGTGCTGAGACGTCCCACGATGCCTTGAGCATAGTCTCCTGGTCGCGAATCACGTCCGAGATGACCAACACACTGATGCCCACAAGACAAAAAAGCACCGCCACAAAATGCGAGCGTGTATACTTGGCTCGCAAAAACACAGTTGACAGAAGCATCACTACTGGAATAGTGAAGCAATCCAGCAGCATGACGCTTGAGATCGATGTATACTTGTACGCGCAGACCACTAAAAAGTTTCCCTCCACATCAGCAAATGCCAGCAGCAGATATTGCCAGCACGGGATCTCGAGTTTGTAGCCTTTTTGGCGTCGGAACCGCATGATGGGGTCCACCAAGTACAGGCATAAAAGCAGATAATTGCCAGCGCTCTGCGTCACTGGGATGTGGATCTGTACGAAGATAATGCACAACCAATCCACATGCACAAAGTAAGAGTCATCACTCCAGTCTATGGCGCATTTGTAGCCATCTTCCAAGACGTCCGATGCGAAACACTCGCACCTGAAACGATCCATTCAACAGTTGAGAGAAAACACCGGTACATGCAATCAACACCGAAATGAACTGGCCTAGAATCAGCACGCGGTTCATAGCATACACTGTCGAGCATGAGCTGCTGTCGCCATCCGTCGCCATTTTTTAACAGCCAAAACAGGTGGCGAATTATCGCTGTGTACCATAAACCCGGCACATTATCGCTTGGAAATCTAAGTATTCAACATTAACGTTTTGGACTAAGGGTTGTGATATGGCTCCTCAATTCTCTTTGCCATTTTATCGTAAAGTGAGCAGTTGCCAGCCTGCTTTTCCTGCATCAGCCTATTGATCATGGGCTTCCACTTACGGCCGCGCGTGTTGATGAACCAGTTGTTCACTTGCTCGAGCGTGATGCCTCCTTCCCGTGCAAGCCACTCCTTCTCTTCTTCAGTTGGATACGGATGATGCAAATTGTGCTCGAACCAGTCGTGCATCAGCTTCTTTGACAATTTGGACAGACTTGAGCGTTTCTTGGGCACATTATTGCGAGCAGCAAGTTCCATGGCGTACGGTGACACTTGCGAGAGCGACAACGAAAGCGGAGGAAGGGCACCTCGTCCAGCATTGATGGGCTCTTGCTGCTGTTGATGCTGAACAATCCTCCTCTCCCCCCACTCGTGTAAGCGGTGTGCTGTTTGGTCATATCGAGCCTTGATGGTAGGGTCTTCCACCTGCGCAGCCACATCAGCCATGTTCTGCATTGCCACTGCCTGCATGTACTGAGATCTACTAGCGTCGCCAGTAGAGAAGCTGTTGCCCACATCAAAGCCCTGATAACTCTGTGCTTTAGTTGGCAACCGTTCAATCACTACAGCGAGTGGGTCGATGGCACCAGGGTCCATCTTCACCTCGGGATTGTTTGCGAGCATGAGCATTCGTTGGAAGCTTCCGTTTGCCTGGAAGGCCTGATCTTCCAACAAACGCTGGCGGCTCTGTTCCACAGGTGCCAGACTATCTTGCTTGGTTGGCGTCGACTGCGGGGCTGCAGATCCAAACTGAATAGGCGACAGCGTTGCAAGCATCAACTTCAGGTCCTGTTGCAGACCCGGGTCCGCTTTCACTGTGGTTCGTTGAGAACGTCGTGGTGGAGGCCTCTTGGCTGCTGCAGATGTAGCGATGCACTTGGGCTCTCGCCGGTGTTGACCAGGAACGTAGTTGGCAAGATTTGGGAACGTCATCGCACGCTAAGAGCAAAATTGTAAATGAATCCGAGAAACAATTGCTCAATATGATGGAAAGGGATTGGCTTGGAGTGTGACAAAAAAACTGACACTGATTGACTGGAAACGACTAGTGGTGCAGACTCAACTTCAACTACTGCAACGTGTTTAGAAACGACTAGAGGAGCTACCAACGCTGGATCGCTCCTGAAGTAGCCGATTACTGCGGGTGCGCTCGCGTACCGAACGCGCGACTTCAGATTGTTCTCGAGTAAAAAGCAGGGTGTCTTCAACTTGCTGCGACATCTGCTGGAGTTTGGCCATGAGCGAAATCTGGTATTGTTCCGAGTCGTCCTCCTCGTGAGCAAATGAAGATGCTGTCGATGAGGTGGAGCTCCGACTTCGCCGCGTCGCGTTCGCCGGAGGTTTTTCATAAATCACCATCGGTGTGCTCTTCAGCCGACTTGACTTGAGTATGTCGCGGCCTTCGCTCTCATTGTCAATGTCGACTTCTTCGCCTTCCTCATCAGATGAAGCCCAGCCCATTGAGGACAAGTTAGATGCACGAACCTCGCTGTCGTTGCTTAGTCCCTGAACTTGAGTAGAGATGTTGAAGACGAAGGACATCAGGGACCGCTCGCTGCCTAGCATGTTGATGTCCACTTGCCTTGTGTCTTTCTCGGCTGGTGTGTCTTGTTCATGAGCCTTATTTCGAAGCTGCTCAGTAGAGAGCATGTTCATCTTAGTAAAGCAATGGCGGCAAAAATCCGCTCGCTTGGGATGGCTTGGCATGGTGTCGCGGGTGAGAACGGTCTCTCGGAAGCGGCATTTCTTGCAGACAGGTTTGTTACAGCCAGCACACTCGGTAAAGTTGTCGAAGAAGGAGGGGCTACTTTTGCAGACGCTGCAGTTCTTTCGCGACGAGCTGCTGTGCGAGGCAGCAAGACGTGTCGCTGTCGTCATCATCAGCGTGAGTTTCTTGGCGCGAGTGCACTCCAGCGCGTTGACAAACGCCATCATGACGTCAGAGACCGCTTTGGTCACGAAGAAGGACAAGGTACCAATATCGACGTCACCTTTCATGTAGACACCCACCAGGTCGTCTTCCAGCTCCTCAAACACATAGCAAAGCGAAACATGTGCACGCTGGTGCGTCATCTTGCTAGAATACTCCGGTAGCTCCACCGACTGCATGACGTGGTACGCCATTCGCTTCCCCGTTGCTTGGCGTACCATTCCCACCTTTTCGAAGTAACACAAGTCCCGATTATTGGCCATAGTCAGCTTGATCGTCGTCCACTTGATACCAGTGAAGGCGTACGGCTCCAGCCTTGTCCTCTTCTGTACTGCGGTCAGTACGCCGCTATCGGCCAGCCGCGGACAAGTGATGGCGTTCATGAATAGCATCTCCTCCGTGTTGTCGCAGTAAAGACCTTCAAGGACATCATCGAAGCGTGCGTGCAGTGTGCCGACGCATAATAGTGGTGTGTGTCCGACAACAAGGGGGTGGCCACGAAATAATCGGACGCCGCGTTTCGATCGCAGTGACTTCCATTGTTTTGTGTTCACGTCTCCGTTCAACTTTCCATAAGCTGTGATAGTCTCCGTTAATGCTTTCTCAGCACGATCGTGGTAATGATCCAGTTGCGGGACCTCCAGCGTTACATTGGGCTGACCAGCAGGGCGACCACGCTGCGGTGGGCGAGTCGGGGTGGGGAGGTAACTCATAAGCCGGTGACCAAAAGCAAAGCGGCTGGAAGGTGTTTGCGCCATGGCGAAGGTTGTTCAGAAAGTGAAATGGCGATCGTCTTAGGGTCACCTGCGGGTGGATTGTGGAGTCCACACTGTGGAGCGACTTGGGTGACGCAGCAGCGGACGCATGACCACATAGGACGTCCACCCGGGAAACTTCGTCGGCACGCCACGCTGTACTCGATGCGATCTCGCGCTTCTCGAATCCGCGGAGCCTCCGCGGCGGAGGCACTGTCTATGAGTGTCAGGTGCGGCGGCATCTGGTTTTCGCGTGAACATGCACCTGCACATAAACTTGGTGATCGAGTGGACGCTTTCGGTGCGACCAAGATCTCGGTGTACACTGAAGTTGTTGACGGGCATGGCAACATGACGCTGTCGTTTGCCCGGTGAACAATGCCTGCCCACTTTCGAGGCTATTATTACAGTACGTCGGAGATATTATAGTCTTTCAGTAATAATGAATAGCCAAAGTGTCGGAACTTCCAGACCTCCGCTCTTGAATTGCGGCACCAGGGCTGACAATTCAAGGTTGTGGAAGCGTACTCCCAAGCCAATTCGAGGACGACGACTTTAGTACTGGTATCTTGCTAGCGTAGTTTCCACGGGCTGCTCCCGCATGACAGGAATTTATAGTGGAACGACAATACATTTACTGTTACATGTACACGTGCATGCATCATCAAAAAGTAAAAAAAAAACTTTCTCTGACTCAAGGATTTGCTGCTGCTAAATCGTATTGCGGCCTCGAACTGTAAAAATAGTGCTGTCATGAGAACGCGCTCGTTGCAGTTTGAAGCTGTTCGATGCTACACCGATGCCGCCAGATTAATATTGTACAGTACCAAAGTGCCACAGTGGTGCTTGCAAGGACCTGAAGCAGTGTTGATCCCTTCGACGGGTGGACCAACTGAAGGTACTACATGTACTGTACAGTAACTTGTCCCGTACAGAAATCATGAAGCCATGACACCAGTTTTTATTTAAGTATTTCTGTACATGTGAGAGAGGATCAGACTTTTCAATTTAACAAATAATTGTATACAAGATGTCTCGAATTTCTTAAGCCAGGATATCAACGCCAGTTGCCCTGCAGGCTCCGGTGGTCGGACGTAGTCTTGTGCCGTCTACTTTGCTACTGGGTCGTCTTTGCTCTCGTTTGGCCACTGCTCTCAGCTGTTGTAGCCCTCGTGTCCAAAAGTCCTGTTCCCTACCTTCCATGGGAATGCGTTTACCCTGATGGACAACCGCGTTTCGCTGCATTACTGTACACATACGCTCATTATTATAGTCAGAAAGGTAAGATTCCATTCTCATTTCATGGATGTTAATACTTATCCATATCGTAGTTCTTCAGTTTTCGATTGTTCTCATTCTTTTGTGATGTACGATTACCGAATCTGTATTTTGTTTTTGCTACGACGGGGGTATCGAATTCGAAGCCCCTGTAGCCATGAATTGGTCGAGCACGAATATAGCTCATTTCCACTGGCACTTTCGCTGTTCCACTGAATGAGAACCCAATAAAAAAACTAAAGATTCTTAGCTGGTTCAACTACAAAATGAAAAATGTTTGTCGGCGCCATATCATCCTGCTTTCGTTTCGTTTTTTTTTAATAATTTCTCAATTGAAGGTCGACACGACGAATTTCGTACGAGGTGATTGCGGTGAACAATATCTGGCGCCACCAGCATAGGACGAACAGCAAGTGTTGGTGGACAAGACGAGCATGGCCGTCATCTGGTTTTGGCTCGTTCGTCCTGAACATGCTGACGAATCCGTTGGTTTGGAGCGCGTGCTACGAATCGTACCTTGATCCATAAAGCAAGTTGGTCGTTCTTTCGTGTGAGGGGAATCCGTAGGGGGCAATCCTGGGAAGATCGCAAATCAAAGATCCGCCATGGCACGCAAGTACTAAAGTACAGTATGCACGGCACAATGTGGATTAATATTATTTGAGGTCGCGCCGAACAAATTGATGCTTACGAACCAAAGATGGAATCGCGATTTAAGCATTAAACGAAAGCGTGGCGTCACCTCCAGGCCTTCCGAATAATGCATTGCAGTGAAAATAATATGGCAATATTTGTTTGGAATAATTCATTTTTCAGCTATGATGAAAATTTTCAGTAAGATATTTCCAATATCGTCATAGATTTGTCAACATCGAATATTCCCCTGCAAGAACTGATTTCACTTAAAAGCAAGAATCTTATTGCAGTTGTATTATCGCCAGGAGACCCTCCTCTATCGTTTGAGCACTCGAAAGCTACAAATGCGAAAAATTGAAGAAGTTGTGGTAGCCCAGAAATATTATCCCATTTCTGGCCTCAAATACATTTAGGGGTATTGGGAGCTCATTATTTTTCGTCTTTTTGTATATTCAAGTGTTATTTTAATGCTCTTGGTAAAAGCAATTGAGTAAGGGTGGCTTACAGTTTTTTAGATGGAAGTTTACATCAAATGTTACAGTTCTGTTTAAGTGCGAAAATCAATTGGCTAACTTTAAACTCGATTGTTCCGATACCGTAACTCCAAATGGTTCGTAAGCATCATTTTGTTGGGCGCAGTCTCATATCCAGCACTGCTTTGGTTTTGTAAATACTCATGATACTTCAATTAAAGTTTAGTATGAATTACAAGCGAGCTCGCTGCGACTCGCATACATTTGTAGCTCACGTCTTCCCGCAGGAATTGCTATATCTCTTTTTTGTTTTCTGCGGTATTCCTGGCGGGCTCAATTTGAAATGGCACTCAATTCGAGACGACGACTTTCTATATTAAGACTCTCATTCTAGAAAAAAATTGCCGGTCCAATGCGCCTAACTTACTCGTACTTTATTTGTCATGGTAGATATTACAGCGATACGTCCTATACCATTTACCAGGACCTAAAGGAGCTTTGAGCCATTAAATTTCAGACCTTCAAAGTCATGCTTGACAGCTTAATCACAGTCACCTTCCCCAAGCTTGCAGACCACATGCAGACTGCCCTTTTGACGCGTTTCGACGATGATATTCAGCTCATTAGCAATAAAGGAGCTTCATTTTCTCACGCTTCCGCTTCGTTCGGTGTGTCCAGAAGCAGTCTCTCTCGTAGAACCACCGGTAAGGTCTCCCTCGACGCGAAGCTAGGACGTAAAAAACGTGCTGTCAAAGGCAGCTGAGGAAATTATTATTCTGTTTCGTTCTCGTCGAGGCATCTGCATGACAGACAACAAGCTCGTTTCCTAGCTCGTGAAGTTGCGAAAGCTGACGGTTTGCCAGTGAGGAACACATTCCAAATGCAAAATGGCCTTAAGAATTTGCTCGTCGTCACAATGACCAGTTGACTAGGAAGAAAGCTCAAATTCTGGACATGAAGCGCTACAATGTGTCTACATAGGAACGTATTCGATCATATCACAGTGAATTAGAAAGCGTAATGAAGGGTTTGGAACCATCTCAAGTCTGGAACTGCGACGAAACCATCTTCTGTCCCCAAGGACGTAAAGTTCCTCGTGTGATATGTGCCAAGGTGATACGAGCGAATATTATGCGCTCCAACAATCGAGACAACGTGTCCGTAATGGCGTCTGTTAGCGCCTCAGGTGATCAGATCCCGCCATTGCTCATTTTTCCTGGGAAGTACCGCCAACCCGACTGGATGATCGGCTCTCTACAAGACTATGTGTGTGATGTGATAAAGTCTTCAAACATTAACGGAATTTTGTTCCTGTACTAGCTAAAGCTCTTTAGTAATCAGATGAAGAAAGGTGTTCCTCGGCCGTTCATTTTGTATTGGATGATCACTTTTCGCACGTAAATGGGCCTGTTTTACGGTACGCAGTACAAAACAAGATCTATCTATTTGTTCTACCTGCTCACACAAGTCATTTTACGCAACCTCTTGACGATACCGTGCTTTCGGCGCGTAAACGCAGCTAATGCAAAGTTGTTATCTAACTTCCCGCTACGACTCGGACGTCCTAATGCTACTAAGTTTAATCTCGCTCGACTGGTGAGTGAAGTTTGGCAAGGCGTAGGACTCACTGATCAAGACAATCTAGAAGGAGTCGTCTCTGAAACAAACATTATCGAGGTGTACAAGAACACAAGGATATCCCCTCTCTCTTTAGACATTATGTTGGCTCGAATCGTGGGTAGCGAAACGGTTCTCGGCCGACTACCGCACGTAAGTTTTGTTCTACAACGATCCGAGCTAAATGGTCACCAATGGCGAAAGTTGAACAGGGAAGGTAAGTCAGTTGATGCAATTTTGGCTATGTTTTTGAGATTATAGCAAGCAGTACAACTTACACCTGCCTAAAAGGAAACGCACATATTTAGAGAGGGGTGGGGGTATTGATGACACACCCTGATATGGTTATTGCTGTAGCCGAGGCGGAGGAAAAGCGTTGCCGCTTAACTAAAGCGCGAACGGCGAAGGCACAAGTGCTAGCCGACAAGAAGCTCCTGAAAGCCCAGAATGATGAAAAGAAGAGAACAGAGAGAACAAAAGAAGATAGGACGCTCTCAATCTGCAGCAGACAAGTTACTTGGAAAGTAAAGAAAACCTGCTAAAAAGAAGGAGGCACAGAAGATTCTTGTTGCGAAGAAGCTAACCGCAAAAGCCTGAAAGTCAAAGAAGAAAAGGTAAATCAAGTTAACACCGACCACAGAGACTCTGCATGTGGTTGGGACGCTGCGTTCGATTCGTCTTTGCCTGGAGAGCTCACCAAATGATGCTGGCAGAATAGTCGGAGCTTCATGCCAGCCAATGATTTCATTTGGGGTTTGTAAAGTGTAATCTCATTTAGAGTTGAGTCCGAGCAGCGTTAATGCAACGTTATATTATCATTTTACAACTTCACGACGTGGTTTTAGCGCAACGCTAACGACGTTAAACTGGTATCTACTGGTTTATCGGTGTTCTAAATGTAACAATAGGAGCAAATTCGACGAAAGATTTTCATCAAAATAGAGACAATAGTTACCCGGACATAGCAAGCATTTAAAACTGCACCCTAATTTTCTCTGACTACAAATCTCACAATCTACTTTGGGACGATGAAGGATCGCGCAGGCGCTGAGTCCAGCGCGGGTGACGAAGGAGCAATCAGACCGCGGTCGGCCCCGCGACTTGTGCAACTGCTTGCTTGTTCTCTAGTCCAAGATATAGCAACGATTCAGGAGAAGTTAGTGGAGATGGAGGAGTACACGCGCAAGCTGGCGGCAGTTCAGGGCGAGCTTAAAGATCTGCTGGACCAAGAAATCGAATGGGCGAGCGAGCTGCCCTCCTGGCGTTTACGAGGCGTCTTTGGGCGACAAATACGTCTCCTCGCTGTCAGTACTCCTGGCCGAATACTGCAAGACGATGCAAGACAAGTAAGCCCGCTATAGTCAAGTTACCGTTGCTCCGATATAACGTTGCTATTTTAACGTTGCTGAATGCTAGCGTCGTTCGTATATAACGTCGTCTACAGAATAACGTTATTCTTCTTAGTCGATAGTTTAGTGCATTTCTCTGCAGAGATTTCCAAGCGAGCACAAAGCACCTACACGGATTTTATTGCAGAGTGATCTCGACGCAATGGCCGGCAGCGAACAAAGCAAGATGTCCCCTTGGGACGTCCCAATACGCATTAGGAGCGCTCAGCGACGCCGGACTTGTCCGATGCAGCCGCAGCTATGTCAGCGTCCACCGACCCAAGCTCAAGCTGTCCAAGTTCAAGCCCGCCCCGCTCAAGCTTTGGTTAATGTTATTGACTTGTTTCATGAGGTCGTTATAGATTAAACAAACGATTCGGACCAAGATTAGGATGCCAAGATTCAGAAAATACGAGTTGAAGCTTGAAGTGACATTTGAAACAATGACTATATTTTACTTAGTTTCAGTTTTTTTCTTACTTCCTTTTGCGATAGCACTGGCCAACTGCCTGCCTATCTGTTTAGCTTCTTCTTTCTCGGCTTCCTCTACAGGTTCACGGCGTGATCTGGATAAGAGCATCCACATCAACCTCAACCGCATCACTTAAATTACGTCTCTCGTTACAGTGTCGGCCGTGAACCCACGTCCGCTATAGATAAAAGAGTACGTCATTGTCGAGACCATGACACCGCAGCTGTATTCATCCGGTTGGGCGAGCGACATTAGCGATTCAATGTTCACGTGTGTCGGAAACGGGTGTTCTTCTTCGCGTGTCCCTTGGCATTCCCACTGAGAATGTCATTCTCGTAGACATGGCAGCATCTTACACGTCCATATATTCTCCATAGCTGATCTTTACGATGTGGTACATCGCGGATCGTACATGTACACCGTCATCGCACCATGTCTGTGCACCACCACCACTACAATAAGCGTCCAGTGGCATCCTACGATGTTGACGGGTAGAGCGATGAACTTCATCGAGAAGGGCTTTGATCGCGTTGGAGACGGTAGCTTCTCGCTGCCGACCACAATCGACGACAATGCATGAACGCCTATCTAGTTGCATGTCATGATGTCCAAAGTATAGATAAACACGGCATCGTTTAGTCACGCACGATCCGCTATATACCCTACCACTTCCTCGAAGTAGATTCCTTTTAAAGCGTTTTTGTGGTAGAATTTTGTGCGCAGACACACAGTATCAAAAACCGCATTGACCTCAGAGGCTAGATGCGCTAGCCTCTGCTTTGCTTTAGCTGCTGGCTTGTCCAATAAATCCGTCCCGTCGCCAAAAAACCTTAATGGGGCGTCCTGTGATCTTCGCCAAGTGCTGTTTTTATCCAAGCCTCGCCTCTTTCCCACCATTTGAAACGTTTTTCTATTCTGTAGTAAGTCTTCATTATGTGTA